CCCCCCCCCCGCCCCGCCCTTTTTCCCCACCTACGGAGCTTGACATTAACGTACCCTACCTCATGGACGGCCCCTTATTTGCATGCAATTAAAGTGGCTGCCTTGAAAGTTAATTTTACTAAACGACGGGTTCTCCAGGGGGTCCTCAATTCTGTGCACCCAGGAAGTCTAAGGCATACTTCTTTGTTGTTTTTATTGTAAGCCTAGATGATTTCAGCTGTTACATAGGGCGAGCACTGAGCTTGTTATTTCAAGTCATGCCACATCAGCAAAAGAGAATAGCTCTCAAATTTAATTCGCCCTTTGATGACTATTCCCCCCCACCCCCCCATTGATTTCATTTTTTAAAAAAAATATTTTTTACTCTGTTTCTGTTCCCCCCCCCTCCCCCTGGTTAATATATCAACTAAACCGTGTCAGAATAAAAGACTAAACACACGGCATATAATTTAGCCCATCAGAGTTCCAATATCTTAAAATAATGAGAAGTGATCGATAAGAAAATAAAATTATTCTTTGCGTCTTTTACGCCTAAAATGCCGCACACCCCTTGTAAAGAAATGCCCTGGGATCCTTATAGAAATTTTCTCTTAGAAAAATTCCCGCGAGTCAAAAAGGTTGGGAAACCACTCATATAATGTGTCCATGAGATATCTATGTGAAAACCTGGCATTATTCAATGGCCAAAATGTTTTAATCTCAGTAAATCCACAGATATTGAATGAGTATTTCTCTGCTATGAGAAAATGTGGAAAAGCTGATGAGAATGAAGTTGAGGAACCATTCCCATGTTTATTCTCCCGGCAATCCCACGAGTTGACAGGCCAAGCAAGACGCGTGCACTTTAGCTGGAACTTGATTGCGAGAAATGCCAATAGTGTATCCCGTCCACTCTCCAGAGCAAAATAATCAAAACAAGCTGTTTGCTCAAAACATAGTTAGTGTCACGTGAATTCAATTACACTCAAGTAATTCGTTATATACACAACAAAATATGTCCAGAAAAATCCATCTTTATATACATAAGAATGTGTCAAATCATTTTTATAAACATACTTTTTTAAAAATTACTTATCCTTTCCATGTTTATACATCTTCCTAAATATATATATATATATATATTATATATAAATTATGCTCTCAAGGCCAATGAAAGGTGTGTCCTTTTAACTAAAATGCGGATTGGTCGACTTTTTTTTTAATTAAAAAAAAAGAGGTCAAGGTTAGCTATTTATACTACTTCACCAAGGGGACACACAAGAAATTGCTCATTGCCGACTAATCGATGAGTTAATTTTGCTTATTTTAAAAGAATTGTATTTAGATTGAAACATCTAAGAAAGCGAAATTTTAGACCGTTGGTAATAAATATTTACATTAAGTTAGTTTTAGTCTGAACATGTGCCATGAGAGATCTATAGGACATATAAGTATGAGCCACCATCTCCATTGTTAGGCTATAATGTTGTTGCTTTTTTTTCAGTAAGCTACCGTCATGATGCCACATACTAAAATAATCAAACCAATAAAAGTTTCTCTAATACTGTACAAAACATAGTTTTTAAAAACAATGTATATAAAATATTCATTGTGTGACGGGATTTACCAGCCAAATTTAATTTTGAACAGAAAACCGGTATGTGTGTCTTCATTAGTCATATTATGCTAAATGAGGAATCAAATACAGACAGATTTAAAGTTGCAAAAACTAAAATAAAAATTGTCGTCACTTGTTGCAGCACAAAGTTGAATTTATTGAAGCCAAATGTTTTAGGTGTTAATGTTGTGGGGTATGAAAATCTAAGGAAGTGTGTTAAAATATGCAATGTACGATAAAGATACACAACTATGTTCTTTTTTTTTTTATCTAGGTATAAGTCACAGGAAAGATATGCCCTACTTTCTGTGACCCAGTGACACAAATCTAAAGCTTTAAAAAAATGTCAGATATTTGTCGGTAACATCAGTTACCATGGCAATGTACTTTTTAAGAAGTAAAAAAACTTAGGTAGAAACAATATACATCAATAGTTCAGGGGTTCTTAAACTAGGGGTGCCGGTGTACGCTGTGGGAGGCAGTGTTAGACAGAGGCATCTACATGGGAGGAGAAAGAAGCAGTCGCTTCTAATTTGAGTTGGGGCGGGGGGAGGGAGGTTACAATTCCCCACTCGCTCACGCTTGCATGCTTTTGAATGTTTCCAGGTGACAAAGTTCATAGGGGAGAGGACCAAAAAAAAAAAAAAAAAAAAATTGATTTTTTTTTGTTGGAAGGGGCTGGGGTTTGTTAGGAGGAAAAAAGGAACATTTAAATTTGTCTGGACCGAACAGCTAACATGCCACCCAACCAGCTAAGATTTTTGAGAATTTAAGCTAAAATGAAAATTATAGGCCTACTTAATTAAATACATTTAAAAAAAAAAAGACTTTCTTTTGACTCAGAAATGCATACCTTATTTTTACTCACAAATGCATGGGGTATGTAGGTTTTTTTTCTTTCTGTCGCACATGACTTTTCGTTCAGTCAATTCAGTCTTCCTCGTGCTGACCAGGAAGGTCGCATCTGAGTTGATGACACGCATTTCCAGCTCTGGTGTGCTGGGGTCAAGGGTAGGGGTTTGGGTGGTGGGGGGTGGGTGTTGAGTGATGGGGGAAATGATGAAAGGTGATTAACAAGCAACAACCCAACCCCTTCGCTTCCAGCAACCATCGGGTCCTAACTGTATGAGGAGGCATTTTGGGTGATGGGGAAGGTGTCAGACAGGGCATTTCTGAAATGAGAGACTCTGACCACTCGTTAAATTACACTTTTTCAGTTTTTTGACTGGGTCAAGATGCTAAGCCACCATACCGACTGGGTAAAGATGCTAAGCCACCATACCGACTGGGTAAAGATGCTAAGCCACCATACCGACTGGGTAAAGATGCTAAGCCACTATACCGACCTGAGAGTTTGAAAGCATTCGTTGTTTAAAAAAAAAAATCTTTTTGTGGATAATTTACAGATTGAAATCTGTTGGTTCGCCGGTGAAGGCTTCTTGCCGACACGTTCATTGTTTCATTGTGCTTTTTTTTTTCCCTTTCACCTAACCTGATTACAGTAGCCCCACCCCTATTACTTCTTAAAAAAAGAATTTCTTTCAAGACGAGTTTAAACGCACTAAAATTCATTACCCAAAAGAACGTCGTTTAAAAAAAAAGTTTTAATTTTCTTGTTCAATTAAAGTTCAGTGGTTGCAGCCTAGTAGCGAACCTCCTTCGGTGTATTCATTAGCTTTATAAGAAATGACGCTAGAAAATGTAAAAACCCTTTAACAACATGCTTTCAATCACATGATACAGAGCAACTTCTGGAAAACGTTAAATAGTAAAATGTTTTTTGTTTTTTTCTCCGGTTGTTAATGTTGATGTAATTTTTTAAAATGTATTGTTAATCTTTAATTTTTTAAAATGTAAATCTACAATTTTTTTCTTTGGATCTATTTATTATTACTAATTTTTGGTCTAAAAATGGGAAACTAATTTGTTGAAAAGTTCAATCATTTGTTTCATCTAGAGATCGACCGAAAGTGATTTTCCGAGTGCGGTCGAAACCGAAAGTAGGCCTGAAGTTTAAAAAATTAGTTTCGGCCGAAACCGAAAGCTTTTCGAGACTTCCGGTCGAAACCGAAAGTCTCAATCATTTTCGGCCGAAAGTGTCAAAAGTTTTAACTTTCCTTTCGGCGCCGAAACCGAAATTCAGTCGGTCTCTAGTTTCATCTATAGTCAAGATTCATCCTAGATCATAAACCTTGATCAATGTGTACCGTGTGGTTATGCAGGTTTGGATACTTGGAAGAAAATAATAGAGCAAGATATGTGGAAGCTTGCAAGGAAGAAACAGGAACATCGGTAGAAATCTGTGTGGACAAAAAAGGGAATGACAAGAAGAAGAAAGATAACCCAAAATGAGAGCTCGATCTAATGATCGGAGTTACCTCCCCTGAAAATGGCCCTTAAATTAATAACTGTGCACATAACAGTTAAATAAAACTAAATATTGCAATAAAACGTTACACATGTGTACTAGGTGATGTCCTACTTAAAACAATTATGGAAATCAGGGTGACTATGTTCAAGAAATAACAGTTCAGCATTTAAGCTTTTAATTAAGAAAAAAAATTGAATATTTAACTACCGGTATATTTCACCTTGTGAAAGAGTTAAGAGGAAGTTCAGATGTCTGGTAGTACCTGGCTTAAAAATATTCAGAAATAATTTATAAATTAACATTGCAAATAATCAACTAATTGTGCAGTTGGTAAAAGCTTTGGTAAAAGCATTTATGTGAAATTTAAAATGCTTACACTTACATCTACCATCTCAATCTTATGCCTTAGATGTAATGTTTAAAAAAAAAAAATCTTCGTCACTTCCTTCAGTTAAGAATACTGCAATAAAAATTATCACTTAACTTTGCTAAACAAAAGCATTTGTTATTTAAGGCAGGCAGAGAATCATTTAAATTACCCCCCTCCATATAAAAAAAATTATGAGTAATCTTATAATTTACTTATTTATTGCTGCATCTGCATTAAAATACCCCTTGTCAGAAGTTAGATGGAGTGCCGCTTCAAAAATGTTTACAGTTTCCATCAAATAAGTTGTAATATGCATATTATATTATGTGTGTGTGTGTATATATATATATATATATATATATATAGAGAGAGAGAGAGAGATGACATCATAACAAACTCTCCCACATTGGGTTTGGAATAATTTGTTTTATTTTTTTTCTAAACTATTGCTCCATACCAGGGAAGTGGCTGTACATGTACATCAGGGTTGTTACCATGACAACCACCAGCCAATTAGCAAAGGACACTGCTCTGATTCCCCTCCCAGCCTTGCCTCAAATGTATCAGATTAAACATGAAGCGAGTGTCTCACTGTCCCTGCACATGCTCTCACTGCACAACAAACAACAGCTCAGCAATTACACAATGACCCTACCGGTGAAATTTTAGTGAGATACAGGCAAAAATAAATCTTGGGCATATTTATTTCTTAACTCGGCGGCAGAAACATCATTTATAATTTCATGGTGGCTGGACAACTTTTTAGAAAGCTGCTAAATTACCTGAAATGGCCTTATATCACCGGAATAAAACTATGCAAAAAAAAAAAAAAAAAAAAAAAAAAAAGAAGACGGCAATAGAAGCCCAGCAACTATTTCTATTGGTCAGTGGGTCCCAAAAATTTTTTTTTAGACCAAGGGAGGGTGCCCAAAAATTGTAGCCTAAAGTAGCCTTTGCAGCATTTTGACTCATCAGTATTTATAATAAAGGCCTTCTGTTCTTATCATTTTGAAACAGAAAATTATCCATGAAGATGATTACTAGAATTCCCTAAAAAGATGTAACATTTTTTTTTAAAAACTAACAATTCATAACTCGTCGTTATGAATCAGTGCTACATAAATGTTTAAAAAATGTGTTATTACTGTTTTATCATTTTTAACTAAATATCTACATTTCGTTAACTAAATATCTACATTTCGTTAACTAAATGTCAACATTCCATCAATAATTTTAACTAAATGTCAAAATAAAAAAATATAAAAAACTAGTTTATTATATACCGGGGTATACTGATATATATTCATGCATAAATTGTACTTCATTATCAATTAACTGCTTTTGTTGGTTTTTTATTGACATTGAGCTTTATTTAAAAGCCTTCTTTGCTAGTAATACTTGGTGACAAATGGTGAGTGTACACAACAGAGTTTCACATGTAAAAAATATTATGCTTACATTGAATGACAAGTACAAAGTTAATTCATAGACAGAGACTTCAGGCAAATGTAAAAACATTGTCATTACAGTCACACTTTCTTTTTAAAGCAAAATATTTGCTTCTTAGAGTGCAGGCACATCACCACACACCTGTCAAATAAATAGAGCACTCATTTGAACACAGGTAATACTAATTGACACCCCCCCCCCCCTTAACACCCTTACAACTCGTCTCGTTGATCAAGTTGTCTGCTAACAAATTTTTGCAGGTCTTCTAATGTTCGACCACCTCTGTAATCATTGAGGAGCTCACCGTTACGGAATATTTTCAGCGTTGGATATCCCCGAATCTGGAAAATGAAAGGGATAAAAAGTTAAGGCAGAATTAGACTAATTCAGAAAAAGAACCACGCACTTTACAAAATGTGCAAAGTAATTAAATCAGATGGAAACAAATTTGTAATGAATTCAAGAGAGGAAAATAATAGAGCATTGAAAAATTGGCACAACAGTGACTGACTGCTAGATTTATTTCTCACTGGTAGGCAAGGAACTTACCATCAACCTAATCCAGTTATTTAACATACTCTGTTTTTTCTTAAATACATATAATTTACAATGAAATAACACAGCCCAATTTACCTAAAGAGGTCTGGCATAGAGCAATATAGAGTGATCTGCAGAAGAGAAAACCTTAAAATGCACCCAGCTTTCACAAAAGCAGTGACTGATAAAAGATCTTGACTGTGTCATGTACATACCTCATTTTCTTCACACACATTCTTGTACTGTGTGCAATCAACTTTAGCTATAACCACTGGCTGACCAGACGATTCCCTGGCTAAATCATCCCATGTTGGGGCCAGTCGCTTGCAATGGCCACACCTGCCAACAGGTGCAACAGTGTAAATTAAACACAACATTTAGTTTCAGGAAAATCGAAATGTTATTAATGTTATATCAGAGCTATGCAAACCACTTCTCCAAAGGCCAGATCCACCCAGTCCCCATAAAATAAGCCAAAGTGTTCAAAATATTATACAATCAAGTCTGGTAAAAAAAAACAACTTCATATTCCACTTTAGACTGGATAATGCCCACAAATTTCAGTTCCACAACTCACCATTGCTATTAGTGGGTCACATGGCAATGAGGATATCTTTAATTTTTAACCCATGAGCTTTCAGATGCAAAATTGCTGTGGTGTCAAATCTTTTTTTTTTTTTTTTAGTAACTTTGCCATGTATCATTCAAATACCCAAAACTAAGAGGAAATGAATAAAGATACCCAGATATGAATAGGTATCTTAGAGAAAATTGAACAACAAATCATATGGTATGAATGTTGGAATTCTTTGAGCTCTATAAAGTCAATATGACCTTGAACTTTCAACAGTGAGTACAATTAGGCTACTGTTTATCTTTCGTCAACTCACACCCACTCTCACTGTTGGGTCCTTTTTTATTATCTCAGTAACTTTTTCAGACATACAAAACATTATTCTTTCATTTAAGAAGATATAAATTTTTTTGGGTTTATATAAATACAAATTTTTAAAAATAAAATTCATTGGTGACTTACATATTTCTTAATATAAATAATATAATTCCTACTAAATTCATTAGTACTTTATATTGCACTACTTACACTATTTGAACTTGTACTACTGTTAGTGTCAACTCCACTATCATAATGAGCACAACCATTAGTAATGACAACAAAACTATCTTCAAAATCGCTTTAGCAAAAAAATATTTCAAATAAAATTGGCTTTTGTTTAACAGGGCCAACATCTGAGTCCTACAAGTTAGTTTTAACAAACAGCTCCAAAAATTTCAGCTCAATTCAAATTTTTACAAAATATATGAACAAATGAAATGTTTACCTTAGGTTTCTATAAATAGGAAGTAAACCTAATTTGTTAGAGTTATCACCTATTTTAAAACGTAAAACTCAGATTTGCATTTATAATATTACTTTTAGTAGAGGCCGATTATATCTCCCATAATACCACAGAATCAGCCATAACAGCTATTATGACAGTTTTTGCGGTTAACACTGACACAGATCAAATGTTTTGAGTTAACTTATCAAGGTGCATACAACTTGATGAATACAAGTCCAGATGTTTTGTGTTAACTTACCAAGGTGCATAAAACTTGATGAATACAAGTCCAGAAGCAATGATGGTTTTAAAATTCTCCTCTGTTAACTCTACCACAGCACCCTGTTAACCAGAAACAAATACCATTTTCATCACATAATCATTTTACTCACCCTGTACCAGGTACTTATAAAGGTTTGAGAAACAATTTTAAAAAAACTGTTAAAAATATCCTAGGGTAACTTATTATACTAATACCGGGTAACCAACTAAAAATTACCCCAGCAGAGTCTTCCTTAATTTCTTCCGGAACTTTCTCCGAGTCATGACCATGTTGTTCTCCTTTCTCCACTGTCAACTTATCTTGTACAAACTTTGTCAAGACTTCAATGGATCGGGGGGCTTGGAACTGATCTATCTGTGAAAAGTAAAGGATTAGGAGGGAAATCAGAATGCTTTCAGGGTAATGTTTCCAGGCAGCTGTACATTTTTCTGTGCAGCAGCTAGTGGGGTCCAATGTTGTCATTGGACTGTTTGCGTGTGTTAAGAAAAGTAGTTGATCTCTTATGAGCCAAATTATTATTGGAGTACACGTGGCCAACACATTCTGATCACTGACACCTATAATTATACTGCTTTAGCTGAGGTCTTATAACAGTTGGTACACCATGATTTCAATTAACAATTTTACTAAATCTGCAGAATGCAAATCATTTTTCCAAGTTGGACATCTTCCTCTACTCTGACATTGGGAGGCTGTCACGAGAAAAAAGGTTTTTAATATCCATATTGTTTATAGAATATGAAGCATATTTAGATGAATTTTACATTCTTGTATTCAGGTGCGGCATTAAACTAGTGTATCTTATCAATTGATATGTCTCCATGTCTCCACTACACACATAATTAGAGTTGGGGATCTCAAGCAAAAATAGATAAGTAGGCTTCAGGAAAAAATAAGTAGGTTTTGTTAAATCAGTCTATATTCAAATAAGGGATATAAATTAAGAACATGAGAACAAAAATATAAACGCTTTAGAATGATTAGTTCTATGTTTCTGTCCCAGCCAATGCACAGATGTTATATGTGAGTATTTAATGCTCAATTTAGCAGTGGTTGCCTTTAATTTAGCTTTTTTTTTTTTTTTTTTTAATTGGTATTGGGGTCGTCCATTAATTATATCATATTTCAACAACAACAAAAAAAAAAGAGGGGGGTGGGGNATTTTTATCCTAAAAATTAATTTGTTATTACTTTATTTTAAGAAATTTAATGAGTTTAAATTCAAATAGTTATATAATTTTTAGTTAAATTATATACAATTTTAACTTGTTGATTATCAAGCTAAAAATGCAATAAAAATTTTTTCATACAATTTTGTGTTATTAAAATAGATCAGCACAAAGTAAAATGTATTTATTTATATTATAATTAATTTTTTAAGGGGGGAAGGGTATAGAAATGTTGACATAATTACTTTGGGGGGAGGGGGGTTGTCATTGAAAGTTTGACAGTTGTTGACCGGGGGGGGGGGTGTAAAAAAATTGCTTAACAATTGTTTAAGTTATTAATGGACGCCCCCATAATGAATAATTTGATTTCTTCATAAAATTACCAAATGAACATCAGAAATGGTTTTATAGAAGAATGTTTGCCAGCAAAAGGTTTACAACCAGGTTCTATTCCTGGAATAAAAATTGTTTTTTGTAATTTCAGTTTTTTAAAATAGATTTTGGCATCTCACATAAAATAAACTTGATTATACACAACTAACATCCCACCTTAAATTAATTGTAAAAATTAAATATAATACAGAAATGTCATATGCTATTTCCTTTATTTTTACAATACATTTCTAGCTTCATGAATTGTATTGTTATAGATCAAGTTTAGGATTACACAAATGAAGGATTACTTCACAAAACAATGTTGTCAGCTTTATTCAAAACAAGAACAATAAATTACAGGAAATAAAGTGGATAATAATGTTTTGTGATGAAAGGAAAAATAGGCTGGACTCTCCACCTACTGAATAGTTCAAATAAAATATTATTGATTCTGGCCACAGATGGGATTTATTTCTTCTTGCATTGATTTTCCGAGACATTTATAGGACTTAAATAATAAACAACACATACAATTGATATTTTGGATATGTGTATAGGAGAGTTCAGAAAAGAGGGAAAGAAAGGGGTGGAGGTGGTATCAACTGTATGTATGAGAGAGATCAATTTTCGGGGTTTACATGCAAAGTTAATTTTAGTATTATTTTAAATTATACATTTGATTGCAGCAATGTCTTTATTGAGCACAGTGAGCAATTAGCACTGAGTGTTGAGTCATATAGAAACGAGGGGTTAAAATCACATCTAAGCCAGCAGAATATGAGCTATAAGATGGCTGCCTATGAAGCGAGAACCATTTCTTCATGATTGTATTATATCTAAAGGCTTTACTACTAATTTTCTTCACAAAAAACATTTTTGCACTCCAATCTTTGAATTTCTATTTTAAAATATATTTTTTGGGAGGAAATTATCAAGTGAACCATATACATATATATATATATATATATATATATATATATATATATATATATATACAAACAAAAGATCATACAAAAAACTCTTTAAAAACATACAAAAAACATTTTTGCACTCCAATCTTTGTATTTCTATTTTAAAATATATTTTTTGGGAGAAAAATATAAAGTGAAATATATATATATATATATATATATATATATATATATATATATATATATATATATATAGGCAAACAATAGATCATACAAAAACCTCTTTAAGAACATCTTGAACAAATAATAATTTAAATATTATAACTTAATTATGAGATAATTTAATTTAGTGCATTATGTTAAAATGTCTAGCTCATTCACACTGAAGGTAAAACTACCTCAGTAGAAGCTTTCACGAAAACCAGTTTATAAAAACTAACAAAGCCCATGATCTTCAACTGTTTAAATGGTTAGCTTTATGTTAGGGTGCAGCTCTACACATTGTGTTTGGAAAGTAGTGCTTCTAAAGAAAAATGAGTCACATTACTATACTATTGCTACATAATTTCATTGATTTATCGTGGATTCCAAAGCTTCCTCAGACAGTTCATTCAACAGCACAATTTTTGGACAGTTTAATACCACTTCACACATTTTAACAGTTAATTCAAAATGCACACCTTGTTACAGGTAATTACAACTGCACAACTGCACACCTATACACAGTTCATTAAATTTGCACACCTTCACACTGTTCATTTTATGAAACCTCTGAATGCAGCCAAAAAAAGTAAGATGAAAAGCTCATACCTTCTGGCCATCTTTAAACCACAATAATGTTGGATAACCTCTGATCTCGTATGCCTTACATACAACAGTGGATTGGGTGCAGTCTATCTGTGAGGGACAAAACCAGAAATAAATTATTACAAGTTAATAGAATTTATGAGGTCGATCTTGGAAGGATGATTGGTAATACAAAGTGAGACTGTAGATCTAGTCAGTGGCATATGCATGGTCTATGGTGCCAAGAGCACATGCTCCATGGACCACCCCAGTTATGCCTCTTGATTATGGTATGATCAATAGATAAATACTGGAAATAACCTGCAAAACAATAGAAGTGGCCATTCATGAACTTCCCATCTGCTATGGCTACTTGACAAAAAAACATGCATTTAAGTAGCACACTTTATAAGAACCCCAATTAGTGTTGACTTCTTGGAATTTTATTTGGCGTGCCCATTGATTTACATGCCGCAGCATTACAGTCATACATACAAACCTAAATAATTGTTCTTTGAGATAAGTTTGACAGATGTTGGTGATTGTTTGAAATTTTGTTTACAGCCTAATTGCAAGCATCAAATTAATATTCAAATTAAAAAAGACAGGTCCCTATGGTGCTACCTTGGCAATGAAAACATTTTCATCTTTGCTGAAAGCGTTTGCCAGTTCTTCCCAGACTGGAGCCAGCCGCTTGCAGTGACCACACCACGGAGCGTAAAACTTGATGAAGAAAAACCCTGCAGCGATTTTGCCAGCATAATCCTCGTCTGTCAGGGTGATGACATTGCTTTCGGGTTCTTCATGTCTCTCTAATTCCTCTTCCTTCTCAGCCGCTATGTCTGTCTAAAGAAATCAAGAAATAAAATTTACTAACATAGTCCTATTGGATAAGTCAATGAAATTCTTAGTGAAATTCGAGTAACGTTCCCTTGTAAAAAAAAAAAATGACAATAGAGAGCATCGTCTTTCTTAACAAGTCAGTTAAAATGTTTGTAGTTCAGTAACATTGAGTTTCTGGTTTATATTTTAATATATCTCTTCAATATTTAAAGAAACAATACAGCTATATAAATTTTACCTCGGATCCCAGACCCTGTATTTGTTCCTGAATAAATGCTTTCAAGGACTCCAAATCTCTTTTACCAGAATAACGCTTGTGAGTCTCCCCATTGGCTTCAAACAACTTTAATGTAGGGAAACCGACAACATCGTGGTCTGCACAAAGGCCAGTATGAACAGTGCAATCAACCTGTTTATGGTCGTAAAGGTGTATTGAAATATTTTAATCTAGGTATGGCAAACTTGTGTGGTGGGCTCTTAAAGTTAAGGTTTTGAAATTCATACTTTAACAGGGAAAGTTACCAAACAGGTTACCACTCTGCCTTAAACTGAAAGTCATAATTATATCATTTCAACTTAAAAACGTGGTAAGTTTTAAGACTTTCTATTAATCATTAATTTAACAGGAAGAAAATTATTTCATGAATACTTAGGGCCACCCATAAATTATGTCATGCATCTAGGGTAAAGGGTGAGGGGGTGGGGGAATTTGTGACAATATGTGACTAGACTAGGGTGTCTAATTATTTATTTTTTAAATTTGTAACAAAGTGGGAGGGGTGTCAAAAATTGTCCAAAATAGCGAGACATCATTTTTGGATGGCCCCCTAAAACACCCCACCTAAAGAATTTCAATTTGTCAAGCATATTATTATTTTTTGGAATTGTTTATTCATTTAATTAAAAAGGTATGAAAATAAGAATTTAAAAAGTAAATTTTATTAGTATATTTACCTTGGCAATTACAACAGGGCTTTCCTCTGCATTATTATAAATCTTGGCCAGTTCGTCCCATGTGGGTGCAAGGTTCTTGCAGTGACCACACCTGAAACATATCTATTATTTCATTGTGCTTATTGTGTTTCCATTGAAGAATACAAGTTTTTTAGTAAGCTGACTTTGTTAATAAATTAAAGTATTATCTTTGATTTTGTCTAGGCTATTACTATTACAACTGAGCGTTATTACTATTACTGTTTGTTACTAATTACTCAATGCTTACTTTACTTCACTTTATTTTCATTTCAATTTCAAGGAAAACGAAAAACTAATATTACTTATTACAATTTATAATTAATTAATAATATGACTAAATAACATTTATAAATTATATTATAATTATTATATAATTTCATTAAATTTTAGATTCAGACATTCCTTATCGGATCATTAATATCAGTCACTCAGACTCAGAGTAATCAGACTTATCTGAATGAATCATAATCATACCATGGTGCGTAGAACATAATAAAGTTTCTTTTCTTCGCAAGACCAGGTCCAAATGTATCTCCATCGTAACTTATTGCATTTATACTGTGGTCATCATTTAAATCATCAGCTTGGCTGATAAAAAACAATGAAACCATACACAAGCACAGAATAAGAACAAACGATTCTGCCATTTTTGTTTAAAATCCCAATGCCTAACACATTAACACAGTGTTGACACACTCACGATTTACCGCAGTTAATCGGAAATAAACGAATATGGTTATATTCGGAGACTTACCTTGCCTACGTGGCATACATTATAAGAAATAAGTTGGAAATAATAAACTATTTTAACTCCATCAAAATTTTTAAAAATATATTATTATAGGATGAGGACACCCTCCCCCAAATCGTTAGAAATTGAATGCATTTTAAGCTCAGACTATATTGGTAGTGTGCGTGAGTATGACCGTCCAGTGTCCAGTTCTCATATCAGATCAGTCTATAAAGCAATTCACCGCTCCACCACGACCACTCCAATAGCCAGCCAATATAGAAAACTTACCCTTGATATTAAGTACATGCAGTGCCGGCATTAGATAGTTGTTTGCTATTGACAAGAACAAAACTGCCATCCTTTAATTATTAATGATGATCAGTCTATCAGTCATCTATATTTTTACTTGTGTCTAGTTTACTAAGAAAATAAATGTAGCCCTAAAATTAAGTTTGAATTATACCTATAAATCCTGAAGATGAAAATGTGTAAATAATATTTACATTATAGTTAATAAGTAGCCTAAAACTCAAATGCAAGATTTATATACATATACATATATATATATATATACATATATATATATATATATATATATATATATATCTCATTACCAAATCACTGATGACGAAACGAATTTGAAATTGGGGATTTTTGTGCAATTTCCTTAGATTCTCGCGAGAATGAGTTCCAATCCATATGACCCATTAATTGCCGTATTTACCCAAGGCAGGGCCTCTAGGCTTCAAGGTTCTTTGGGCCTCTCAAAAATATGGGATTTCGATTTCGCAGCATTGCCATGGCATGGTTTAAGATTTCATGGGCCCCTGCTCTTGGTGGGCTCCTAGGCTTCAGCTTTGTCAGCCTCTTGTATACACCGGTCCTGAGTCCTGTTTGTGAAACGTCGTTAGCAGTTGAAAAGAGTGCATTGTCAATTTGTCATGTTTTGTATTGTATTACCTTCACAGCATTAATTCTAATTTTACAGCATTAACTCTGCTTTCACAGCATTAACTGTACTTATGCAACATTAACTCTATTTTTGCAGGATTAACTCTGCTTTCACAGCATTAACTGTACTTAAGCAACATTAACTCTATTTTTGCAGGATTAACTCTGCTTTCACAGCATTAACTGTACTTATGCAACATTAACTCTATTTTTGCAGGATTAACTCTGCTTTCACAGCATTAACTGTACTTATGCAACATTAACTCTATTTTTGCAGGATTAACTCTGCTTTCACAGCATTAACTGTACTTAAGCAACATTAACTCTATTTTTGCAGGATTAACTCTACTTTCTGTTTTGTACATCATCATTTAGCAGTTACATCTGCAGCCATATTGAAATATTGAAATAAATCATTCCAGTGATTTGGTTGGAGAAAAAAAGGATCTATTTTAAATAATGTTAATATCCCTTAGCAACTGATTAGTAGCACCTTTAACCACCAAATGCAATGAATGCACATTGCATGAAATACAAATTTAAAAAAAAAAAAAAAAAAAAAAAAAAAAAAAAAAAAAAAAAAAAAATAAAAAAAAAAAAAAAAAAAAAAAACAAAAAAAAAAACCCACAACAATATGTTTAAAATGCGCTTTGATTTAATAAATGGATACTACTATTTGATTTAGCTCTCTAACTCTTGCTTAGACTTCATTATGTTTTCCTCTCATGTTCACGCCATCATCATTTCCTTGTACTCTTATATCAAGTAAACAATAAATGTCTGAATCTGAAATTTCTTGAAATTACACTTGCCCATGCATTTGTTGTTTTTTTAAAGTTCTACGAAGCCAATGTAATGTTCCTTGTTAGAAACGTGGCATCAACATTGTTGTCATTCTTTGAAAACTTTTGAGGCATAAACTGAGACTATGTGAAACTGTAAGGAAGAACACTGTTAAGTTGCAATAAGCGTCGCTTGGATTTGAGCTCCATGGTGATATGTTCTTATGAGTCGCTACTTCGCGTGATACTAAGTTATCAGACAGTTCTGAATCCTCATCAAAACTACATAATTCCAATTTAAAAAAAAAAAAAAAAAAGAATATATATTTTTTGTTTGTTTGTCATGAATTTTAAAAGAGATCCTATTCAGTGGCGTAACTAGGGTTAGTTCCGCTCGAACAGGCTTGAATTTTCCTTTCCCCTTCCACAAAAAAGTATGCACTTGACTGACAATGCCACCCCTCTATATAAAGAAAAAAAAGCAGAAAGGCAGCCCGGGGCGGAAAACCCGCTCCGCACCCCCCTTCCTACGTCAAGGAGCCTTTCTGAAATACTCTATAAACTTTTAATTATTTTAAAACTAATTTGTCGATTTTTGAAGTGTGCACCCCTGAAAATTGTGCACCGGAAATCTTTAAATCTTGCACGTTGCAAGTTGCACCCCCGTGCCCCCATGCTTGCACGCTGATATTCATCAAATAATAAAATAAAAATAAGTATGATTATTGACGAAAGTTTTTTTTTTATTATTCCAATAACTATGACACCAACTATTTTTTCGCTCAAAAGTTTGGAAACCTGTTGAAGAGTTACAGTTATCCTTCCTTCCTTGTGTGTGTGTCCGTGTGTGTGTTTTTGTGTGCGTGTGTGTTTCTGTATGTGTGTGCGTGTGTGTGTGCGCGCGCGTGTTTGTGTGTCGTAGTTGAGGATACTGAGATTTGCAAAAAGGGGGGGGGGGCATTATTGCCCTCTTTCCTTTCCCATTTCTGAACAAACCTCACCCTTTTTAGGACCCCCCCCCCAACCCCAATTACCAAATTAATTATGTTAAATATTTTAACGCCCTTCCCTTTTAAAGAACACCAACAACACCAACAACACCACGCCCCACACGCCAAATAATACATGAAACACATGAATCAAATAAAATGAATAATTTTAAACGTTTCCATTAGTCTTTGAATGTTGAATGCCGTAAGAAACAAAATTGTGGGTCTATTATATTTATTTGGTTGTTCAATAAATTTTTAATTTGTAACACTTGGAATGTATGGGGAAATTCTATAAACCGATCGGAGAATTAATTGAAGAATTGTTAAGGACTAAGCATTTTTCTTGGTATATCTACTGTATTTTTTTTTTTCTAGCGTTATGTATGAACTTTTCACGGATGTGTCACATGTTTCTTTATTGTAATATGGGGCCTCGTATCTATTTTTATCGTTGTCACATTTTTGGTGAAAATGACGTCATCCCGATCAAATCGTTCAGCGCTTAAAGTTTATTGAGTATGTGAATAAGCTTAATAGTTGCCATTGTGTTGTTTTTTGTTTTGTTTTTTTTTTCGTTTTTTTTTTTTTTTTTTAAATTATTTCTTCCGTTTCTTCTTTCTTTTTTTTTTCTTGCTTTTTAAAAGAAAATCTTTTTTGTTGTTGCCAATGGGCAGGTGGTAATGTTTTAGGTTATTTTTTTGTTTTTTTTTTTTTTTTTTTTTTTCGTTTTTTTTTTTGTTTTTTAAATTATTTCTTCCGTTTCTTCTTTCTTTTTTTTTTCTTGCTTTTAAAAAGAAAATCTTTGTTGTTGTTGCCAAGGAGCAGGTGGTAATGTTTTAGGTTGTACTGAGGCGGGTACTGACCTGGATACCCGGAAAAGCCGAGCATTAACACACCCGTTTAAGCCTGGTCCCGACAAAAATAACTAACTGGGTCTGGGTGTTTGAAAAAAATAGTCATCTTCTCTGTGTTCCATCCAATGGTAAAAATGAAAAGTGCATATTTAGAGTCAGTAGACTATATCTTTTTTTTTTACACAATTTTGTGTGTGTGTACATTTGACTTGAATTAAATAAATGATAATAGAAAACTGACTAACGATTGGTGTGAACCTAAATTTAAGCTTAATGAAACTGCCAAGCATTTAAAATATAATTTACTCGCTGTGCATTTTGTGTGATCATTTGTCTTAGCAAGATGCATATCCTCGGTTTTCTCTTTACAATTAGTATTTCATTGCACAAGCTGAATGGCTGATGATATGGAGTAGCAAAAGTCATTGCTGTCTTAAGGCATATGATCCCAAGATTCTAGGAGACTCACTCTTTTAAAGCAGGCCTGCACAACATACGGCTCGCGAGCTGCATGCGGTCCGCGCGCACCCACTTTACGGCCCGCGAGTAACGAAATATTCTTTATTATTATTTTTTTTTTCCCAATGCCCCCCCCCCCCCTCGTCCTATTATCTTTCGACCCGCAACGATTTTTAGAAAGTATTACGGACCACCTTACATTTTGAGTTGTGTACGCCTGTTTTAAGGGCATCTTGCTTTAAATATTGTTAATGAATATTGAGCGATTTTGGCAATTTAATTTGATTTAAAAGTCAGTGGACAGGACGTTTCCCATTTTAACCCACGATATTATCGGCACATTCCAAAATTAATATTATAAATGCGAATCACATGTTGGATACTTCTTAAAGGGGAATAACTCTCGTCAACAAGTTATACAGTTCTACGCCCCGATACGAATAAAAATAAATAAATAAAGTAAAAATTGTGTGTTTACATCATGTTAGACTAAGATGTTAGTGCGCCAAGGTGTTTGGCCCTCTTGCCCCTCCCACCTCCTTTGCAAGACCTTGAGTATAAAAAATAGAGGGTTAAGGGTCTCGGTGCATTTCTGTGCCCAGGGCCTCCGCTTTTGTAAAGACGGCCCTGACAAAAGTGTGTGTGGGTTCTTTCGTAGAATTCATTAAAAGTAATGTAATACGTGAAGCAATCCTGAAGGAAGGCTAGGACGGTATCTTCAAGATTATGATTATAAACTAATAAACATTTGTTGGTGTCAGATAAAATGAAAACTGCTACCTACCAGCGAACATAACACGAACGCCATGTAGTATTGTATTTATGTTTATGGGTTAGGGCAGTGGATCTAAGCTTGTGGTCACGACCCCCCTCATGGATCGCCTGATAAAATATCAGGGGTCGCATGATGAGATAATAATAATTTGTTTTTTCTTTTTTTTTTTGTTTTTTTTTTTTTTTGTTTTTTTTTTTTAAAAGTTTTCAGCTCCAAGCAAAACTATAACCAGGTGTCCCCATGGGGTGGAACACATTTTAGAAAATGCAAAGTAAACTTTTTTTTTTTTTTTTTATGTGGTCACGACCCCCCTCATGGATCGCCTGATAAAATATCAGGGGTCGCATGATGAGATAATAATAATTTGTTTTTTCTTTTTTTTTTTGTTTTTTTTTTTGTTGTTTTTTATTCTTAAAAGTTTGCAGCTCCAAGCAAAACTATAACCAGGTGTCCCCATGGGGTGGAACACATTTTAGAAAATGAGAAGTAAACTCTTTTTTTTTTTTTTTTTAAACACCCAGACCTGGAAGGTTTTTCTCAAAATACCCGGACCGAGGGTTACAACTGCATCACCCATAGTTTTAGGCCTAAGAAAGTGTTAACAGTGACAGTATTTGTACGACCATTTGAAACGCAAGACTATTTTCATGATCATTAAAGTATACATTTATTTTTATAATTAATTTTCTATTTATGATTATGACTTTTTAAAAACTTCTAATAAAGAAAAATAACATTGGTGATGTCACATTAGCCTGAGAAAGCCCCCCCCCCTTTCCCCTCCCCCTTGACAGAAATTGCACAGGTAAGTATATGCGTTTAAATATAAGAAATGCAGCAATCTATTAAAATAATTAAATAAAATATATTTTTGCCACTTGTCTTCAATAAAGAATTGTCACCAAGAAGAATTCGAGGTTGCGGATTTTAATTTCATTACAGGAGGTAAATAAATAGTGAAGCAAGATAGATGTAGTCCCGAAATAAAGACACGCGACGTTTCGCCCGGATGTCTTCTCCAGCAGGCAATACAATAGTAAACAAACAGATTCAGATTAATTGAAAAAGTATATTTTGGAAGATCACAAGAATTTTTAAAATAAATCAGATTTCCGGCATCCGTTTATATTCTCATATTTTTTAAGTTTTAACACTATTAAAATTACATTCATACTACTTAAATTCACTTACCTTAACAGAATGCACCACATAATTATGTGAGAAGCACATTTTTGTCTTGTAATTCCGTTTCTATAATGCGCCTTTGATTCTCAAATTCCTTTTCTAACGACAACATAGAGCACACCTGTTCTAAACTTTGACTACTTTGAGCTATCTTTACATTATTGAGATATTCAAAAACATAACTTTATCTGAGTGCTAAAATCAGGGGCGTCATTTCAGTTGTTTTTTTCAAGGTGGGGGGGGGGGCAAAACTAAAACTTGGTCGGCTTGTTTAGTTGTTAACTTGTTTATTACTGGAGGCGCCACAGAACATAGCAATTTAAATGAAACCTCCAAATCCCTGGTTAAAATTTATTCACACACTGCTGACCACAATGAAATAATAATAATTTTTTTGGTGTGCTTCCAAGGCATGAGAAGCTATTTACCACTCTAAGCCTTTCGCCATGCCATAGACTTGGACGTTAGGCTCTATACATAAGGACTTCGAGGAGCTGGTTGGTCAAGGGCCTCATTCTTTTGAACTTTTTGCGTCAATGGTGAGACCCAAGTTTGTGCAGGCATTGGCAAAATTCGTAACACTGCGTTAGATGTCCGCTTCTATTCCAGCATTTAAGACACACTCGTCGACATACAGGAAGTATGGGAGGTTAAATGCCATAATCCAAGGTTTCTGACATCGTGTTAGCATGGTCTTGCTGAACTGAAAAACATTTAAGACTATAACAGAGGTTACTTTTAAAAAAAAATAAGAAACGAACACGAGAATAGTTTAATCTTGATTTGTTTTGTTTTTTCGTTTTTAAAAATTTCAATTAAAAAAAAATTGTTGTTTATTTTTCGAAGTTGCTGAGTGGCTGGAGTTGGCACCTGGGCTGGTTCAACATTGTTTTATTCTGAGATACTCCCTAATTGTTAAAGTGATAAGTAAAGATGGAACTATTATGTGGCCGTGTAGTGCGTGACAGCCGACAATTTCAAATAATTTTATATTTAGTTTATAAACTCAATAAATTCAGGTCCTGAGAACTATAGCCGTTGTTGTTGTTCTTAGAGTGTTGTATTGTATAAGAAAAGAGAGTGTTGTATTGTATAAGAAAAGAGAGTGGTAGAAGAAAAAGCCTCCTACAAACTGATCCCCTGGACATACGAGAGAGCAATTACGTTATGGCAGACCAAGCCATGCATTCTGGTGGACTCCCTGCGGAAAGCTAAGGACACCACTGACAACAGACAACCCTTAAGAGTTAGAGACTCTAACCCGAATAAAAAGTCAAAAGTCCCGGACTTTCTATCTATCTATCTATCTTTCTATCTATCCATCCATCCATCCATCCATCCATCCATCCATCCATCCATCCATCCATCCATCCATCCATCCGTCCGTCCGTCCGTCCGTCCGTCCGTCCGTCCGTCCGTCCATCCATCCATCCATCCGTCCGTCCGTCCGTCCGTAGTTTGGTGACCCCTGATGTACACCGTAGTCAAAAGAAGCCGTTGGCATCCCCGTGGAGGAAGATGAGAACACTCTTAATTGCTTAATATTAACATATCCTCTGAAACAGCGGTTCTCAAACTGTGGGTCGCGACACCTTTAGGTCACCTAAGACCATCGGAAAACATATATTTTTGAAGTAGCAACGAAAATAATTTTATGGTTGGGGGGTCACCACAACATGAGGAATTGTTTTAAAGGGTCGCGACATTAGTATTAGGAAGGATGGGAACCACTGCTATAAAAGGTGGACATATGCAATTATACTAAGACAAAAAGAATAAAATCCTCTTTCCGACAAGATATAATTTGTTTAATAATTCACTCGGGTTCCCGAGAAATTAATTATTGAACTTATACCCACAAACAAAAAAAAAAGACACAAATGACGTTGTCCCTATCTAAACCTGGTCTAGCGGGCTGGGGGGAGAGAAGCAGCTCACTGTTACAGACCTGTTTACCCTCAAACTTAAAAACGTACAATATCATCACAAAATCGTTCAATACATTATCTTAATAGTAAAAAAAATAAACATACAATATATATATTTATACACCTCTAAATCGTACATTTTACGCCAAAATCGTAAGAGTAAACAGGTCTGCTGTTATTGTACCCTGCCCTGAGGTCAAATTCCACGACTATGTTTCACGATTTGGTTTTCGAGCGGTGATAGAGACATTGAATTGCCTGCATATTTGCGGTGATAGAGACATTGAATTGCCTACATACTTGCGGTGATAGAGACATTGAATTGCCTGCATATTTGCGGTGATAGAGACATTGAATTGCCTGCATATTTGCGGTGATAGAGACATTGAATTGCCTGCATATTTGCGGTGATAGAGACATTGAATTGCCTGCATATTTGCGGTGATAGAGACATTGAATTGCCTGCATATTTGCGGTGATAGAGACATTGAATTGCCTGCATATTTGCGGTGATAGAGACATTGAATTGCCTGCATATTTGCGGTGATAGAGACATTGAATTGCCTGCATATTTGCGGTGATAGAGACATTTAATTGCCTGCATATTTGCGGTGATAGAGACATTGAATTGCCTGCATATTTGCGGTGATAGAGACATTGAATTGCCTGCATATTTGCGGTGATAGAGACATTGAATTGCCTGCATATTTGCGGTGATAGAGACATTGAATTGCCTGCATATTTGCACGTTTTGACACACACGCCACATAATACATTTTAAAGCAAAACCAATTCTTATTACCATGGTCAACAATTTTTTTTTACAAAAGTCATATTTGATGAAATGAAATTATAATTTCTTATCAGTTTTTATGTGTTCAACAAAGAATATGACAGTCAAATTGCAAAATTGGGTTTAGTTTTTTGCTGTTGTAATCTGCAATAAGTTAATGTTTACATCATGAAATGCATGCCAATAATAATAAGCCTACGGTTAATACCTGTAAAATTCATAGTCATAAAATAGACTACTTCTTAGATTTCGTTGCCTTTCTCTTGTACTGCTTTTCGTGCGATCTCTGGTGAATGCCCAGCAGTCGTCAGCCAGCGTTGTAGTGGATCATCTCCCCTGGTATCTTTGTTCCACCGTCGCAAATCTTGATGAAAACGTTCGCCATGTTCATCACTAACCATACCACACTTACCAGGGAAGTCAGGGAGGAAATCCAGATGGGAATGAAGGAAGTGGATCTTTAGAGGAATATTGCAACAAAGTTTATGATACTGCGTCAGCATTTCATCTACTAGTTCCTTGTAGCTTTCTGCCCTAACATTCACGAAATAGTTTGTGGACACTAGATGAAAAGCATTCCATGCTTCTTTTGTATCACCCTGCAGCAAGTTTTTGAGCCGGTCACCTTCGAAGAGCTCTCGAATCTGATGACCCACACAAACTCTCTCTTTAAATCTTTGATTCGCTGGGTCGGGGGAATTTTTCATGCAGGTACTGGATCGCTGACGATGTCCTGTGTACGGCTTTAACGAAGTTCTTCACCAAACCTAGTTTGATGTGAAGGGATGGTAGCAGGATTTTGTGAGCCTCGGCCAGACCTAGGCGCTGGATATTCTTCTGTGCAACTTCAACATTTCGTCTGCGAGTACATTCCTTCCGCAGGTAGTGCAGTCCCCTTGCTCGGCTATCCCACTCACATAAGAAACACGTATATTTTATATATTCCTGCTGCAGTCGCATTAACTGGGCCACATACCTTCAAATCACCACAGAGGTGTCAGCTATACCATACTTGTTATACTCAATGGAAGTCAGTAGCTGCTTTCAATGATCGTATGTCTCGTTTATGTGGATATCATGCGCTACTGGAATAGTCTTACGACTCAGTTTCGAAGAGTCTACAACTAGGCCCCATTCTTGTGTAATGAGTAATTTATAATGCATTATTGAGGACCTCAATATCGGAACAGAGTACCAGACTACTTTACTTTCTGAAGGAAGGCTCAAACTGCTGGTGACGCTTTCGATATAAATAAATTAATTTTGACATCTTCTTCGAAATAAATTCCATTGTTGGAGTCTTGATCCTAGCAATTCTGCCTTGTTCTTGAATAAGTCCAAATCACGAACCAGATCATTTTGTTATTCCTGCGTAAGTCTGTGTGGGGTTGATTATGCACTAATATGCCCCAAAGTGAAAATCTGGATCACTGCATGTTGATGGAGCAGGTGACGAACAGGTCGACTCACCCTTGTTCACATCAGATGAATGAAGAGAATATTATGCTGAAGGTTACTCTAGGCTTATTTAAGGATGCTGTTGCAGTTCTTCACGGTCAAACTTAGAAAAATGAACTATAGGAAATGTCTACGAAACGAGAGGCCATAAAAAAATGTAACGATTATATTCATATTCAGCACCAAAAAGGCGGTACAGATCGGGGACTTTTTTTTTAAATAGTCAATAGTATTTATTTGCAATGAAAAGGTTTTGATCACTCAATAAATAGGCAATCTAAAAATAGTGCTTAAATAAAAATGGTTGTGTTGCTTCCACTGATATGTATCCTTTTAAACTATTTGTATTTGCAGGCTTTCCATGTCAAGTGCATTTGACTTGTTCTGTTGTTTTTTTAAACGTGTTTAGCTAATAAACTAAATGTGATGCATAGTCCTTTAGAATATATTTGTTTAACATTGGAACTAGTTAGCGGGAATAATCTCACGTGATATTGACAAGCTAAAGCCCATATATAAAGTCGGAAGCTTATATAGCAAATCTTATAGGCCTAAACAATGGGTTCCTAACATTTTATTAGTGCCTTACACCCTCCTGATTTCAAAACATTTCCCCGCAACCACATTTCACTTTCATATTTCTCGCACCACACACAAACACAAAAAAAAAATCTTAAGAAAATTAACCTGATTTTCTGGGTCTTCTCATCCCCACTGACACTGCCTCCCATGCTACAAGGAGTGAAGGCATTCACTTAACTACAGTACATGCTTACACAAATATTTAAATCTTCTTATTTTCTGTGCCATCTACAAGCATGATTGTATCCATTTTACCAGAGAACAGTTCTAAATTTAATAGACTTTTTGTTTTCGTTATCATTTATAAGTTTCGATACAATTGAATCAGTGACCAAACCTCAAAGTCTTGCGGATCTGCCTATATTGAAACCCTAAGCTAGACTGCATAAATTAGGATTGATATATAGCCTAAATATAAATTTTGAAATAGACCTCCAGACCATATTTTTTTAAAGGTGATTATGTCAGAGATTCAATGTAAGAAATTTTATTTAGGGTTTCTTGTTTTTAAATTTAAAAAAAACAAGATTTTAAAAAGTAAATTCAAAATACTCAAAGTAAAAAAAATACATATTTAATTTTGTTTACTACATTTATTTACCCAGAATTCCACTACGTTTTGTCTGCGCATAACATGGCGGCGCCATGCCTCGCTATTTATACGTATAATTCTGAAATTAACACGGCGGTAATAATAATTCCGCCTTGTAGGAATGGTACGTAATTTAAGAAACAATTTGCTATATAAATTATAAAATTTATGTTTAAGAAATATTTCAATAGAGGATTTCCAAAGTAATTTACAAACATCACATCAACGATCCCCTTTGGAAGGCCGAATCCCTTTTCTTTGGCTTGAGGAGGTCGAAAAAAAAGGTGGCGTCCTTTCGCCATTTTCTAATTTTCTTTTGGCAATCTAGCTTGCATGAAGCTACGTTTTACAGTTACATGAAAGGATGTGAAGATGAAGGCTGAGCTGTAATATTTCAAGGTTGAAAGTTTGTGTTGTTCGTTAAAAAAACGATGTTTTTTTTTATTCACAGCCAAAATTAAATAAAATATGAGCCAAATTTGAAATTATATTTTTAAAAAATCATCAAGTGAAGCTATACTTAACTATACTAAATCAAACTAAAAGTGCCCAATAACGCAACTATAGGAACTTTATTACTATATTAAAGTTTAAAACATTTCTGATCTATAATATTTATTTCTTGAGAATCAGGCCAATTTGTGATGCCTAGGGCTATGCCTTAAAAACATTACTTATTGCATGCCAATCTTTTATTAAATTGCTTGTCAACTTGTCTGTCATATTATATGAATTTCTTCTAGTTTCTATTTCTAGTCCTAGTAATAGTAGTAAAAGTACACTTTTCGACACACTTTTAAATCAAGTCAGACAAGTCATTTTGTTTCTCCATTGTAATAAGTGATATTAGGCTGTTCAACTTGGCCAACTGATATTATTAATAAATATATTTTAAACGCAGCGGCTGTGTAGCCCTTGCCTTATTAAAGTTAAAGGGTTGCACCATCACAAATGGTGATATTGGATAGTCAAGTATTGTCTTCAAAGTAAAATGACTAGACAATAGAAAAGAATAGTTCTGGATGAAACTGAACATGTCCTTGGTTCATGTGATGACTGTGAGCTTTTCAATAAAAAAAGTTGGCTTTCTATGCCTAATAACGTAAAAGGGATTTGGTCTCTCCAGAAGAGGATAAGATGGCATGAAGCTAATATTTTGCCAGATAGAAGTTATCACAATATGAGACTGTTTTTCACTAATAGTCTAGGCTAGGGTGACCAAATGTCCCTTAAAATCGGGAGATACCGTTTCTTCACGATTGTACCCGGTGTCTCGAAAAAGTCTCTGGGGATGCCTAAAAGTCCAGTTTCTAAAACCAAACATATTTTCAAATCACTAAGACTTCTTAATTTATATAATATAACTTCAAGTAATATTTTGGCTAGCTGTGTAGCCAGTGCCAGTTGTGATGCTGGCTTGCATGATGGCTGCACTGTTCGCCACTCTGCCAACGCTGCATAATGAAAGTGTCCCTGCCATAGATCTTATATGTATAAATAAATAAGTATTCACTGCAAAATTATTGTTTTTATTTATGATATGCCTCAGAGTTCAAATTAAATTACAAAAGTGAAGGTAAATTTAAAATTTCTAGGTCTCAAAATAGTTAAAATGAGCATATTTCAATAAACAGTTTCCGACTGATGCCCCTGGATACGCTGGAGGGTATCCCCCCAAACCTTCTTGGATGTGTCTCGTTTTTTTTTCAGTTCATGATTTGGTCACCCTAGTCTAGGCCAATTAGTACCGTAATAGGCCTAGCCTAGCCTCTCATAATTTAATTAGTTCAAAATTAATTATTTTTTTAAAATTGGATTTGGAAGAGTATGATTGATTGTTATTAATGTTTACAATTTTTGTTTTTTAAAGTGTAGGAAGTATTTTAGTATTATATAAAAATTAGCTTCTAATTAAAATGGGCTAGCCACTATAGGCATAATTATTTTAAGTAAATTATTATTCTTAAATCCTTACCTTGAATCCGTGAACTAGACTAAAGTATTAAAATTTATTATAATGAAGCGCTCTCTTGTGTACATTATATTTAATTACTCTACTAGCCAATGTTCAGTTTGTTGTGTCCCACAGATAACCAACAAGATCTATCAATATCAACTACCTGCGATTTGATCCCAACTTGTGTAGTCTCAGCAGTGGTTTTACTTACGCACACCTATTTATAGACTAATTATTCAAAATTTTTCCATATTATTAATTTTTATCTGATGACAATAGCATGTTGTTTGCAAAAGCGGGGAAATATTATGTGTAGAAATTATTGCCCATGCCGATAAATAAATAACATATTGAATGTGTCCTTGGGTACCCCAAAAATACCCAGGCCTCATTTTGACCTATCAAGAAAAACAGAATATAAATCCGTTAATTTCTTATCAGTAGCTTACAACCTGTTACCATTTTGAAAATCAACAAGAAAAGTACTCATAAAGCATAGGGTATTTTGCAAATATTTAAAACCCAAAAACCTGAACTGGTTTCTGGCAAAAAAAAATAGATAGAAAATGTAGGGCATAATGCCAAAGTGTTTATTTACCGCGTAAATAAATAAATGTTCAACTGGAGTTCTATAAAAATTGTGGGGAAAGGAGAGGTAGGGCTGTTCTTTAGGATGATACAGGATTCATCATTAGTAAATTCAATATATTTTTGGGGGACATTTTTATTTTTACTTTAAAGTACCTTGAGAAATAATACAGCTGCATGTTTTAAATTGGATTATTTCTTTTAACTTACATGATTTATTTTAAAAACGAGTTTTATCCCTCCAAATATATGCTGCTGTTGATGACGTTTTAGAGAGACTGAAGCTAGCAGGCTAATCTATACTAAGCTGTACCATGATCTCCATCACCATATCAGTCAGGGAAGTTGCATCTTCTGAAATTTTTAAAATTTCAAGATGCAATGTTCTATCGGACCTTGCACTCCACTTGGGGTGGTGATGGTATTAATTAAAATATATTGATGATGATGTGTCCTACATTTTTGATTGCAGGTATTTTAGAATGAATGGTGGCGATACTGGCTCTTGGGCGAAGAAACCCACAGCTCCTGACAACTGCAAAAGAGCAGTATCGAATAAAAAGGCAACTGGCATAACAATATTCATCTTGTGATGTCTCCTCATGCAGACTCACACTTATTACCATTTTACTAATCTATAATAAAGAAAAAAAGAATTTGTTTGAATGGTGATATGAAAGGTGGTTGTTGTGTTGTTGCCTCTGGTGTTGCGAAAGACTCATTACTACTTTAAAACCATTTACAATTTGCTCAAAGTGATGCCTTGCCCAGGTTTGAATTGTTTTGGGTTAAAGGTTCTGCTTCATAGCTGTGATATTGCCTCTAGACTCACAAATAAGCTCCTCTCCAAGGAATAAAGCTTACACATTATGCACCATTGACATACTAAATACCTATCTATTTTGAACTGATATTTGGTATTAAAAAGAAATACTGTGCCTGGTGAAAGTGTAGGTCAAAAGATTTAGTAAGCTGTATACCTTATAACGTGTACGAGTTCATTGATTTCAAAGTATCATTGTCACAAATTATCGTTTACTGTTGCAATCTTATGATTTATGACTGGTTATTAATCATTAATACTTAAAGAATATGAAATCAAATTCTTATTAGCTAAATTGGAGATGTTTTAGTGGAATAATTAAAAAAAAAAAAATCATGTTATTATTAATTTAATCAAAGAAAAATTATGCGTGTGTGGAAAGATGTAATGCTTTTTTTAAAGATAAGATCAGTAAGTATTAATGCCACTGTGCTCTAGGGTTATTCACATTTTGAAAAAAGAATAACAGGTGTGCCACATGCTGGTATACAAATGTTTCATATTAAAGCAATAAAAGCAATGACAAAATATAAGTCCATTGCAAACACCAATAAAAATTTAATTAAGATTACCTTATATACCTGTGTGTAAGTCGATAAATTTTAGTCGTAAACTTTATTTTAAATGCAGTCAGTGCTAATTTCTATAGAATTTTGTTCATTGAATGCGGGGCAAGAGTACTTAACTGTAGCTGTATGTTGATATCTTGTGTAATACGTCTCAGTCAATCATACACTAGCCGTAGTTTTAGTATACAGTTCAGCCATAGACAAAATAAGACAAAATTATAAAAATTACAGAATTTAAAAGCCCCAAGTATAAACCGAGACCGACTTAAAGATGAATTCTACTTATAGATGACTTCATACTGTAATTATTTATTAAATTACAAACTTTGCTAGAATTTTAATAAGAAAATGGCGGTTGGTATTTTCTCTCCTTTCTTTCAACCTGTGAAATAATGGGACAAGCTTTTTTTAAAAAAAAACAAAAAAAAAACATTGCCATTAAAAATACTTAACTTTTGAATTTTCATTTGCAGACTGTTGAAAAGGTATCCTCCAAAAAGTTTTGTCAGAAGTGTGCACTTCAAGGCATTCAAAGTCCTATAAGATTGTTCCAAATTAATGATGATGAAGCACTTTTGATGTGCAAAAATGTTAATGTGAGTTATTAGTTTTAAAAATATTTTCTTTAATTTGTTAAAGTAACATTGCTTTTGAATGAATATTATTTAAGAAAAGACATGAATAAAGTCTTCAGAAATGATACATTCCCTAAAGTTGAACTTAAACTCATAATAATTAATTTATACTTTTCTTTTTGCAGTGTACATTTATGCCAACTTCAAACTGGGCATCTCTAATAATAAAGCGCAACATTTCACAATTGTGTGTGTCAAAAAAGAAAAAAAGAAGTCCGTCCTCAGCTTCTACCATCTCACCTCTTAGCACTAAAAGTGCTCCACAAATATCTGGACAAAATCCGCTTGATCCCTATTACAAATTGACTTCTTCACAAGGAAATAAATATGCAGATGGTGCTAATCAGCAAAGAGAATCCTCTAGCTTAGGCCTAACTGGCCAAAGATCTTTTGCTTCTCCAACACCATATGAGGAAAGTGAAAAAAAGACTTTTGTTCCTTTTGCACCATTTCTTAGTGGCTCTGCTCATATCTTTCCATCATTTGAGACCAATAAGCTTGAGGATAATCGTAAGAAGAGAGTGAATTCTAATAATTTTCCATCAAGTGGTGTGGGTAAATTCAGTTCTGCTTCAAACAGCAGAGTACATTCTGGATTTGATTGTTTGCCTGCCTTAGGGTCCAAGCGAAGAAGTAACAGTTTAGAATCTGATTCGGTTTCCAGCGGCAGTTGCTCCAGCAGTTCTCGTCCAACTTCACCCATTTTTGAAGGGGAAGTGGGTAAAGCACAGCTACAGGGGAACAAAGTTAAACGCATAATTGTCCCACCTAAAACTTGGTCAAAATTACAAGATGGAACCTGGAAAGTACAGGCTGTTAGTGATAAGAAAGATGGGTCCGTAATTGTTTTTAAGTCAAAAAGTGACTCTTGCAAAGACGTGCAACTAATCCCTGCTAAGCCATCTATTATTGGGAACACTTGTGACATTTTAAAATCAGAAAATTTAACTGCAGATGGCAGTTTTGAAATAACTCCTATTGGTTATTTACCAGATATTTTAAAGAGTGTTTTAGCTCAATCATCTTCCAATGTCAACAGTGAATCTATCAAGTCACACATTGATGCTATAAACAAACATTTGTTGGCAATAAATAAGACTCTCGGGGTCAGAAACGCAGTGCCACTAGCATTAGTAAATTTAAGTTCCAATTTCAAAGACACTAGCCATTCTGTTTCATGCACTGAGCTACAGATCACAGGCCATGAAAGATTCAATAATGAAAATACAGTATTAAGCCCTATTGCTTCATCTGAATCATCCCCAGTCTCTGGTTTGTGTGACATTAATGACCTGGATTTGTATAATGAGACTGGATCAAGGGGTGCTGTAGAGCTGGATGATTATTTCTTGGAGAATATTTAATGTGATCAATTGACTTGTAATAAGGAGTTTTCAAAAGTCAGTTGGAACAAACTTTTGTACTTTGTCATGTTTTTTGTGTAAATTGACCTTTTTCAAAAGGTTCTTTTAAATAAAAAAAAAGCCAACAAAAGAGCTCCACTATGCCAATCACTGGGAATTTAAATCAAGAAAATTCACCTGATGAGCCTGTGGGTGAATATGGGTTAGATACCTCTCAGGTTACTGGACCTTCCACTGACCTAATTCAAGCTTCAGACTGTTCTGGGGCTGAGGTTTCAAGTACCACTGTAGATCTTGACCCATCTATTGAATCAGCCCTAACTCATTCTACTGAAGGTGCAACTACATTGGAGCCTGTGCAGTCGACCTCATCTATCGACATATCAGACTCATTAGATGGCTTTAAGGATGAGGTATCATTGCCTAGAGATTCTGTTTCTAAGGCTAACAGCAGTGCCTCGGTGACATCACAAGTCAGTAAAGGTTTTCAAGATGCATTTGCTGCTTTTGCTTCTGCTTCTTTCAGGAATGAAGAAGAAGAAGTGCAGATGGATACCAACGATGAGACCAAACTAGAAACTGTTGTGTCTGCAGCTGCCGACTCAGCTGGTACGGTTTCCATGGAGCCACTTGTATCCTCTGCTATTGACTCTGGTTTAGTGACAACAACTGGAGAAGAGTCATTGGTCAAGTCTGAGCAAGAGGGAGAGGTAGCTTTTGGGACTTTAGATGCGCCAGTCATGGAGCAGCCAGGAGAGGTTCAGATGAATGCATTCTCAGAACCAGGTGCTGACTCCCAATCATTTGAATGCAACGAACAAGCACATGCTATGGAAAATGTTGCTGAGCCACAAGCAGAATCAGCTGCTGCAACTGATTCTGTTTATTTCATACAAATGACTGATGCCACTGGGCAAGTAGTCACCTCAATCATAGATCCTAATGATATTCCTTCCTATGCTGACTCTGTTGTGTACAAACAGTGTATGTTACCTAATGGTGAGATAGAGACCACTATTGTATATCAAGGAGGGGTGCCGGTGACACAAGAGGAACAACAAACTGAGGATCAGGTTACAGCTTCACAGGAAACCACGGAACAAGTGGAGCAGCAAATTATTTATGTTCACGATGCAAACGGTCAACTCACTCCGATTGATTCTGCTCAATCAGCGAATGATGTGGCTCCGCTAGGCAAACAGTTTGTATACATGCAGGACTCAACAGGTCGTATTATTCGCACTATTATGGATGCTAATCAAACAATGGTTCCAGGACAACAAGTTTATTACACTCAGAGTGAAGATGGTAGAATAATTACCTCTGTTATGGATTCTGCTACTGCTGGTGTCTCTGATGATGGTACCCAGCAAACTGTAGATCAGCTTTACCAGCAGCAACAGACAGAGCAGGTTTATCAACAGCAGTTGTTGGAGGAAGCCCAGCAGCAGGATAATGCCGCTGGCACCACCAATACTGTTGGATCCACAGGAGGTTTTAACATAGACAATAGTATGAGTGGCCTCAGCATGCTAGCGGAACTGTCGCATCTCACAGCTGGTCAAGGTAGGTCTTTTATTTTATACACTTATTTATGGATAAATTTACTTGAAAGCTGAATTGTAGAATTTTTTATTTTTTAAAACTATTTTTGGGTTATTTGTAATGAAAAGAAAAAAGATTAATTGCAGTTTTCGTCCTGTCAAGTTTATCATGGGATATGTGTGTTTAATTTAATGAATCTGATCGTCCTCTCACACATTTAATAACTTAATTATATATAGATTTATTTATATCTATATATATTTATAGCGAGATGTTAATACCCTTGTTGCATAAAGACATTCTAATCTTCAATAGCAGGGCTAACTAAACAAGTATGAGTGGCAGCATAATCATTATTTACTACATGCTTTTTTTTTTTTTTTTTTTTTTTTTTTTTTTTTTTTTTTTTTTTTTTTTTTTTTTTTTTTTTTTTTTTTTTTTTTTTTTTGTCTAAAAGAATTTCTTTAATAACTTCTTTTAATAGCTCCGGCCACAGGTGTTGCAGTGGAACCAAGGACATCATCAAGCACTGAAAGTAACTCTGTTGATATGGATGAATTTCGTCCTGTTGCTATGGTTACACGACGTGTTGAAGATGGGGATGGAATCAGTGCTGACATAGCAGGACTGAAAGTTGGTGAGGCAGATTCGTATAATTTCGACCTGGACCAGGGGTCTTCTTTGTCACAGGAAGACAGTACTGGTGAGCCAGTAGTCTTTACAGCCCTTCACTCATTTTATGTGCATGAAGAATCATACGAGCCAAGACAATAAAATAGGTTCTTAATGATACGCTTCTTAAGGATTCGCTTTAGTTCAGTGTAATAAATCATTTAATTTTTACATTGTGCTGTACTTAAAGGGCTGTGAAGACTTAGTCATTGGTTCATTTCTTTTTTATTTTCTTCTTTAAATACACTATAGGTTACCTAGATGACCTGCAAATTTATTTTTACACTTCAACTTTAAAAAAAAATATTAACAAAGATAAAGTGGCCACATTGAAATATAACAAATTAAACTGACAGCATTTCTGCATTTGTTGATTAATGTTTGATCAAATTTTATTAACAAGAATGTCATGTTGTAAATGTTAAAAAGTTTAATTTTTGGGTTATGTAGGACAAGAAGATTCTGTTGTTGGCAAAATCTTATCAGAGATGAAAAGCGAGCATCTGCCTGGGTACTCTGTGTCAAGGGACAACTTGTTTGTTCAATGGCAAAATCTGGATGCCATGTGCTGGATGGATGTTGTTCTCATCATGCTGGTCTATTCACCAACACTTCGCCCACTTGTTAATCTTGAACCAACTCATGAACTAGCTTCTACATTATTGATTACACTTCTTAAAGCCAACAGGCAGGCGCAGGTACTAAACCTGTCACTTTAATGAAAGTTTATTTATTTAAAAAAAACAGAAAAAATTCTATGTAATTGCATAAACTTTCACAAAAAATGTATAATTTTCTTATGTTGACTGATATTTTAATTTCAAATAGTTTTATACTGTTTGCCGCAAGGCGAAATCGTTCAAATGGTTAAACTTAAATTTCCAATAGTAGTTAAAATTCATATCAAGCTTTAATTTGCATGTTTTCTGTAGGTTTTGCTCCAGAACTTGCTTAAGAAGAGCAATGGAGCCGAGATTAGTGGTCTACAAACAGGTGCTGGAAACACAGCATCCTTGCAAGATCCTAAAACTTCAAAGCTGGTTTGCAAAGAAAATATGGATGAAATAGGCAAAGCTATCAACATATTGTATGCAATGAGGGAGAAAATCTGGCAAGCTTTGCAACCAAGGTTAAGATGTGAAAGAGGGAAACACAATAGTCCTGTATTAGTGCTGCCTTTACTAGTCAGAGAGAAACCTGCAATCAAACAAATGTTCACTATGAATTACAGATATGTTTTCAAGGTAATTAAAACTAATTAGCCTCTTAACTTTCAATTTTATGTGGCATTGAGGATATATCGATTAACTCCACAAAAATACGAGAATTAAATTTTTTGGATCTTGATATCATCTTACCACCATACATTTCCATGCATTACATACCTTAAAAACACATTAATGGTGTCTTACCATTTTAATATTTTACGTTAAAGTACCGTCANAAAATAAGCCCCCCCCCCCAAACCCCCACCCCATAACTATTATTAAATATAATATTTATAAAATAGACAAATATGACGTTAAAGGCAATTAAAGGAAATCACAGCAAATGAGGTAGTTCAGCTGAACATAGTAATTACGCCTCCCACTGAAGATAAAGGCAAACAGTGTATCAAATAGGGGTGTGCCGGATCCGTTTTTTCCAACCGGATCCGGATTTTCTTATGCGAAATCCACCGGATTCCGGAATAATCCGGATTCCGGTTTCTCCCGGATTTTGGTACTTCGCAGATACCGGTAAATCTGAGGGGTTGGATGCCTTCTGAACAGTTGGCCTAAATGGCTAAATGACATTGGCTGATACGCATTTTTAACAATTGAGTGAATGATAATATAAATCAAAATATGAATTAAAATTACGGTAAATTTTAAAAACTGAGATAAATTTCTATTGCGTTAGGTAATCAAGTGGTAACCGACCAGCCAATCAGAGATAGCGCAATGCTTGTGCTATCACTTTTTTTGTTTACACGAGCACTCTAGTATAAATTTATACCTCGTTGGAGGTCACTTAATTGTTTCACTGTAATTTGGCGCATAATAAGTTTCTATGTTGTTGTTATTATTATTATGCTTGGTGAGGAGACAGCTCCGCAGGGCAGTACGGGTAATCTATATCTCTGCACCAATGACTAATTGCTAAGCAGACTGACGTCAGGTCGATCAGTGTGTGTCCCTAAAAGTATTCATAGAAAGGCTAGGTCAGCACAGGCCTGCTGGCTTGACGCAATTTGATTGTCGTCTGCCGTGCTCGATAAGGTGGCGGGCTGGCGGCCAGGCGCTTTGGCAGTATAGTTGCTTATTATTTCTGTTACAACGTCATTGGTGATTGCGGTTAAGATGACGTCACGAATAATAATTACTCATCCCTGCACTATCATGTATGGGATTGGGCCGATTGGCCACTATTAGCGGTGCTGACTCTAGCCTCTGGTATGTTCGGAATATTAAACATTAAACAAGCTCAACGCTCGAAACAATCGATTAATGTATCTTGATCGTGTGGAATTCGGGAAAGAGAATTACTTTTATTTCAGATTATGATCCGGTGAGTCACAAAATCTGGCAAATTCCGAAATCTGGTATATTCCGGTTGTTCCGGATAGTACAAAATCCGGCAGAACCGGATTTCACCGGATAGTGCAAAATCCGGCGGATTGTTATTTGGCTAAATATTGTTGTTTTGATATCTATTTAGTTCATTTGTGTTAACACAAAGCAACAGTTAGCCAATAATAATAAAACATGTGATATTTTTATAGCCTTTGAAAAATAAAAAGTTACCATATATTTCTCCAATTTTAAGGTTACCTTTTGCTCTTTTAGAGATATACATAGGTGATAAATTTACGGTATGATTAAGTATTGCAGTATCTATGCTTAAATGTGCATAATACATTCTGCCAAACCCCCTTCCCATATTCAGTGGTAGACAAAATTTCCTAAATCAACACCCTGATGTTGCTTTGAATGCATACATGAATTTGATATGGTCATTCTCTACCATTTTGTAATATGTTTGTATCAGTGGTCTTATTAAACAAATTCATTTACAAATTTTGTTACTTTTTATTGATAAAAATAATGTCCAAATAAATTCCTTAAAGACATTTACAATATTTTTTATGAGGACTCTTATTGTATAAATATTTTTATTAACTAATGCAAAATGAAACAAAGGTATCTTAAATTTTATAATTTGCTTTCTTACTCATGTTTACTAGCATTAATTTTATTCTGTGAGAGCCCGAATAAATAGAAACCATTTTAATTTCCTTAAGTGTGAAAGATGTGGCTACTCTCAGGATGATAGCCATACAAAGATTCTTCCTAGTATTCCAGCAGTACCAGCAGATTTCAACATGAAAACTCCTAGCTTTGTTAGAAATTGCTTTGAGTGCCAAGCTCCAAATCAGAGGATGCTTATGAAATTTGAAGGGTAAGGAATTAAAAATATATTCCACTTAAAAGTTCCTGCGCCTCATATTTATAAAAAATAATTAAACATCTTAAAGTACACTATTGAATTGTGTTGAATCTATTTTGTAAGATTAAAGTTGAAATTTATTTTATAATTGTTTATCTCTTTATTACTACAGTCTGCAAGATTTTGTACAGATGCATTTTGTAAAAGGTTTGCCTCACAACCGCTTTGATGAACTCAGCTTTGATTTCAATGATGACCACTATGAAGTGACAGCTGTGGTTCATTACAAAAACAACCCTGATCATTTTATTGCATGGGTCAGAAATGCTCCAGGTAGGGATGATATTACATTTTGAAAAAAGGCCATGCGACCTTCAAATTAAATTTTGAGTATTACTGGCGTGGGGATATCATTCACGAATATAGAAAAAAAAAACCCACTTAACTGACGAACTGTGGCATGCATTATTCTGTGGTGTGGAGCTTTTCAGAGCGTTATGAGTGCCATTTGAAATTGCATTAAATGACATAGAAATATTGATACAAGACCCCAATCAGTATATATTTTTAGAAAGGTAAATGGATGGGGGATAAAGTTGCCCACCCCGTACAAAATATTTGCTCAGTGTCCTTGACCTTGTAGTTCTCTAGAAAAAAATATCGACACAATGTCTTGCTTTCAAGTGCTCATAACATCATTAATTTTTATAGATACACTTAAAACACAAATATAAATGTTGTAGCCAATTCATTTATCTTTCAGAAAATTTATAGTTTGCTAAGGTTTTGATTGCAATTAAACCTCTGAAAGCAATTTTAGTAATTTAGGTCATTTATATAAGAAACTGGGACCCCTGCTAAAACCAAGTACAAAATGCAAAATCTCAGGCAAAATAGTTATTATTGACTAGTAAACATTTAAAAGGGAACTGTGGAACTGATTTGGGTTGTTTAACTATAAAATTTATTAGTTCTGAACTATAATCTGTAGCTTCCGTGACTAAAATTCAGTCAGTCCTTGCCCAACCTCTAACAGTAGCCTCAGTAGGCCTACTTCAGTATCACTAAGACTAGTATAAAATTCACGAGAAGAATAATCTCAACTGATATCGTTAAAATGTTAAAATAATCATCAGTATCACTTAAACCTCTCCTAAAAAGCTTTCAAATATATTTCTATTAGTTCTTGCACTGATGGCCCAGCCATAGCTTCAACCATTTTAGCTTTAAAAAAAAACAGCGATATTAAACTCCGATTAAAAGGTATTTATTTTTAAGTTATCAAGAAACAGCTTGAACAGGAAGATGATTTATTTTATTAATAAAAGTAAGTGGCTATAATTCCGGTTAAATATTGGATTGGAAGTTGCTATCGGACCGTGTTTTTTAACGGGCGATTTTTTCGGTTGCCACAGTACAGAACGAGAATGTCGGCTGACCACAGTTCGTGGGTTAAGAACGATGCCCAGATCCAGCTATGAATGAAAGATACTGTTATCATTGGAGAAGTTTTTTTTTTACCTCTTGTATAATTTGCACTAACTAAGCCGGCCATGTCTTTTATAATTGAGAACTGTGGTGGTATAAGGTGCATAAATAAATTGGACCATTTTTCTTATAGCTGTCTGCAAATCATTGTATCACAGTTAGAAAAAGGGTACACACTCCTACGAAACTATAAGTCAATATGAATGAGGTTAGGTTATTAGACTTAACTTAACAGAACCAAGGCTTTACCCATTGTAGCATCTAGTTATTTTTTTACATATTAGGGTTCGTTAGTTAAATTTTAAAAAATACATAGATTGTGAATAAAATTTTTAAAAAAATATAGATTGTGAATTGATTTTTAATTAATTTCCACATAGGTTCACACAAAAGGTGCTATCTAGGTTATTTTACTATCCTTTTAGATTAAAAATGGATTTGCTAAAAAGATATAAAAGTCCCCAAATTTACATTTACCTTAGAAGTTAGGCCTAGTCATTGAAGATAAAATCTAAATTTTAACTATGGAATAATGTCCCAATTGTTTTAACTTTATCATATATTCTTTTACAAGCATTACAAGTAATATAATTATCAGCATTACTCGCTTTGGTTTTACATTAGGATGATATAATGGTGTTAAATTTCATAATGTTCTAGTAATAAATTGAAAATTGCTGTATTAAATGCAAAATTGAAAGCTCTTAAGCTCTTTAACTTGAGACCATAGTTAAATAACTAATTTGCACTAACTAAGCCGGCCATGTCTTTAATAATTGAGAACTATGGTGGTATAAGGTGCATAAATAAATTGGACCATTTTTCTTTTAATTAGCTGTCTGCAAATCATTGTATCACAGTTAGAAAAAGGGTACACACTCCTACAATTGCTATCTAGATTATTTTTTTTCTAAACTTTTAGATTCTATAAACAAATTGAAAATTGCTGTAATACATGCAATACTGAAAGCTCTTAAATTCAGACCATAAGTTAATAATTAATTTGCACTAATTAAGCCGGCCATGTCTTTACTACTGAAGATAGATATACTGAAATAAACAGTCTAATACCTGTTTGTCCTCTATCTTACTTACTTTGTTTACTCTTAAAGTGAACAGTTGTTTTGCAGACCTGTTTACTCTTATGATTTTGGCGTACAATGTACCATTTTGAGATGTCTTTTACTAATGTATGCTAAGACTTGGCAGTACTATGATTTTAAGAGATCCGGTTGAAAATATATTCATTCCGTTATTTTTTTGCGATTAAAAATATTACTTAAATTGTACATTTTCGGTTGTTAGTTTTAACTTGCATTTTCATTCTACGTCCAACAGTGAATGGATCGACAAATATGATTGGTTGGGGACCATCTATATTATATCATATTTGCCCTGGGAGGGTAATGGAGTGGTGTTTATTTAGGAGATTTTGTGTGCGGGTGGGGGTCTAAATATTTTAGTCTATAAAATTAACACCGCCATATTTTGTAATGATAGGGATGATGGTCATATTGTTGCTTTGTGTTGTTATAACAACTCGCAAAACACAGCTACTGTAATATTAACGTAGTGGCCCTTGAGACAATTTCGTCAAACCGTGGTAATCCATATACTACCTACTCATTGAGGTGGGAACAATGTCATAGATTTTTTTAGATTTTACGTACACATGCGTATGACTGGGGGTGGGGGTGTCTCGAAAGAAAGTATGCTCAATATTAAAAAACTCTACAATATTATCCTGAAAATTAAAAAATAGCATATTTATATCTCGAATGCTGTAAAAATATCATGCAATGTTTTGTAGGAAAAATCTTCATAATATTGTCATGTATTTTCACAAATGTACATGATAAATCTGCTCAGACAGTACTAAGTAGTAGAGGTAGTACAGTAATATTTAGTCCACCGTATGTACAATGTGCATGTGACTTATATTTTATAAGACTACGCCAGTGGTTCTTACTTCTACTAAGCTTTTCGTTTCCTAGCGCCTGTGCCTAATTTAGGTTTTCACCAGGCTCCCTATGTTAAATTCTAACAAGTACACTTCGAAATAGCGAATACATAAACAAAATAAAATAAAGGGTTGGGTAACAATAAATATAACACATTTAAATCACTAACTGCCATATAGTAACTGCAAACAGTAGTTACTCAGTGGGTTACTGGTGGGAGTGGGGTAGAAAATTGCTTCAGTGCTGTAAGACGTAATTTTGTGACAATTATTTCATGCGAGTCCAAAAACAGAATTCTCAACTGTTCCGTACAGCAACATAAGATTTTGACATATTTAATAGGATCTGAGAGGGCCTCAGAAATCTATTATAAGAACATGCAAAACTGTTGTGCGCAAAACTGTTGTACGATTTTAAATACCCCCTCACCCTATCACTCATTTACAACTTGTGGTAGTTCTCGGACTGTACTATGTTAATGGGAAATGGGATAATGATATTGATTCTTTTTTAAAAACGGCTTTTCCTAAAAAAAATGAATCTAAAGTTACTTGTTTTTTTTTTAAAAAGTCGCCCTAATTTGTTAATTAAATTAATTCTTATTTTAATAAATTTTATTTTATGCTGAAGTGACACTGAGTTAAAACCACGTTCAATTTCAATTGTCCTTTGGGTGTGTGTGTTTATAAATATATATATATATATATATATAATAATAATAATAAAGTTCATTTCAAAAACACGCTTCATCCCCAAAGGCTCGAAGCGCGGTACAAAGTCAACAAAAAACAAATCTATAATTTACCACATTTAAAACAAACGCAACACTACAAAAACTAATTACAAGCATACAATGGCAAGTCTTTCTAGCTATTTCAACCCCAAGCAACACAGCCATTATGCATTAACTGTAAAATAAGGTAGACAATCATCCCAGAAGGTGTTTGCGAAATAGATGTGTCTTTAAATCGGTTTTAAAGGACTCCAGTGTCTGGTTGTTTCTGAGATCGACAGGAAGGGCATTCCAAATTGTTGGAACAGCAAATGCGAAAGTGCGCTTTCCGTAAGTCTCAAGGCAAACACGTGGTGTCGAGAGTTTGCCACTATCGGATGAGCGGAGCTCTCTAGTGGGTACATAAGGTGTCAGCAGCTCTTTCAGATAGGACGGCGCCCAGATAGGACGGCGCCAGGTCATGTAAGCAGCGGTAGCACAAAGTTGCGATTTTGTACTCTATGCGAGCACGCACCGGCAGCCAGTGCAACTCTCTCAGAAGTGTTTTTGCATGGTCGAACTTGCGTTTGCGGAGAACAATGCGAGCCGCATTATCTCTCAGAAGTGTTTTTGCATGGTCGAGCTTGCGTTTGCGGAGAACAATGCGAGCCACATATATATATATATATATATATATATATATATATATATATATATATATATATATATATATATATATATACATACACACACACATATACACATGCACATTCACCAACAATAATACAAGACCTGAGTAATATATTCTTACTTACATTCGAAAAATAATTAAGAAAATTTATGGTCCAGAGAATAGACTTTAAATAAACATTTTTTATTTTAATTCTTCTCTATAAAAGCTCAGACCTTGCAAAAACATTGTGAACTAAGATTCTTATAAAAATAATAATTGGTAATGTTTAAGTTAAATTAATTTAAATACATGGTAGTTAAGAATAATTAACATCAAATCCTTTTGAGGAGTATTACTTAACATACTGCACCAGCAGTTGAAACTCAAAAGAATGACATTGCTAGTATTTTTAAATTCAACATCCAAGTCTTACTTTTTGTAAAATTAAACAAGGCAATTCAGTGAAACCTTGCTATAATGCGATAATTAGCATAATTAAAATCAGATTTCATTATAGAAGGGTCTGTTAAAGCAGGGATTTCAATATTCCTATGCTAATAACAGTGAAATTTTTAACATAGAAAGAAAAATGGTTTCCTTTAAATAAGGGATTTATAAATCGGGGTTAGAGAGCTATGTCACGCTGAAGTAGGAATAATTATAGTAGATTTGTGATTGTGTGGTACAAGAATATTGATGTGTGGTTCGAGAGCATAAATTTTGTATGCTATTTTTTTGGTTTTGTACTTAAATAAACATGTGTAGTTTTGGGAGCTTTGCTGCGACTGTGTTATGTCTATAAGGGGCTCTACTGAATAAGGCTTTTTTGTGTGACATCAATGTGGGAATACTTATTTACTTTACTTGTGCCTTTTGCCCCATCGGTACATAGGCTGTCTGCAAGAATTTTCCATTCATTTTAGTCCTGTGCTTTCCTTCCCAGTTGCTTCCAAGTGTATCCCATTACTGTGTGTGTCTCTAGCTCGTATCACAATTAATTCTTATGCCTTTATCTCCTTTTTCCTGTGGATTCCTTGTTAGGATTGTCTCCTGATGTTATCTGGGGGTTTGTGGAGGGTGTGCTATATCCACCTCCTTTTTTTCCTTAAGTCTTCAATAGGCTCCTGGTATGTCCTTTCTAGTAAGTCTTTATTGGTGATGGTGTTTGGCTATTTGATGTTCACAATCTTTCTAGGGCAATTGTTTATGAAAGTCTGTACTTTCTGCATAATGCTTGCCTTGTTTCAAGTGTTAGCTCTCTAGAGTAAGACTGTCTTGACATTTGTGTTGATAATTCTGACTTTGGTTTGTAGAATCAGGTTCTTTTGACTCCCATATTTTCTTTAATTGCACAAAAGCTGACCTAGCCTTTCCAATTCTAGTCTTGACATCTGCTTCGGATCCACCATTTATGTCACAGCAAACCTGCCAGAAAGAAATGCTCTTGGTTGGCTAAGTTTACCATCATGATCTTTGTGTTGCTTTTATTTATAAATGAGTCTGAGCTATGCTGAAATAGTGGCTACATCTTTAGTCTTTTTCCTGCATTTGTTGCTGAATGAATTCAATGTGGGACTGTTGAATTATTTTTTTGCGTTTGTTTTTTTTTATGCTTGATTGAGTAATTCTGTCTGGAGATCCTAAGTTATGGATTAAATAATTGTTATGGCAAGTAGTTGCTTGCATTTAATTTAATAATTTTTTTTCCCTAGGCTCTACATGGATGGAGTGTGATGACCTCAAGTCTGTTATTACTCGCTACTTGCATGTATCCCCTAACATCCCAGCTGGCCAAGTACACATGGTCATGTGGGAGAGAAGGCTGACATCACAGCATACACTAGTCATGCGGGATACAGAGGATACAAAGCTTCTTGCCTCTCTGGTGCTCACTGTGCAGCAGCCTAACACACATCAGTCCACGGATCCTGGTAATCACTTAAATATTTACTATTTTGGCTGAAAACTTTTACTTTTATGCTTTATAATTATCGTAGCTGTCATTCAACACAAGTACTGAAAAGTAATGCACTGGGAGTTACAAATAATTTTAACTTGAGATTCATAATAATACATTTAATTAATAGTCATACTTTTATTTAAATATAAAATGTATAATCTTCTAAGGCAATAGATGAGATCCTTACAATGTATAATTTTTACATCAATGCAGCTGCAAGACCAACAGGTGTACCAAGTGCTCCATCGTTTCCATCAGCAAGCACCCCACAAACAAGCTCTCTGTTGTCAGGACTTGGAACCCAAACACAAACCTTTACTCCTTACACACCAAGAGGCCGTGGCAGGGGAAGAGGAAGCAGGGGTTCATATGGTGGAAGAGGCAGGGGAGCAACTACTGCCATGCCCGTAAGGCGGGCAACTCCAACCACCATTACACAGATTACACCTACAGGTACAACTACATTACGAGCTCGCAGTTCCCCTCAGATTGTCAGATTGCCAATGTCTGCTTTAACAGGCTCAACACTGAGGGGCGGGACCATGCCAGGTGCAAGATATGTTCTCGTTGGTAACTCTCAAGCTGGTACGTCAGGCACAGGAAGTGGTGGAACTAGTAAAGTTGTGGTTGTAAGGTCCCAAGGAAGTACAAGCAACATTACTGCCACTCAGCTTCTCCAGCTGCTACAGAGAACTGGTGCCCTTAATCAGGCAGGAAGCAGAATAACCACTACCACCTCCGGTTCTGGTACCTCTAGCACTTCCTACCTCGTCCAACCAGATGGAACACTTGTTACAACAGGAGCACCCGATTTAATGGAAGCTTCCTCTCAGCAAACTACCGAACAAGCAATGCAAGACCAGTCAGATCCCTCCTTCCTAAATTCTGATGGGGTTGCAGAACAAATACAAGAATCTCCAGAGACTGATCCAGAAAAATATGGGGAAGAATCATCTCAAGTCAGCACACATGCTGAACACCAAATAAGCACACTCCCCTTCCCAACACCAACGGCTACACCAATCAAAGAACACCCAGAAACCATCATTGTCTCACCGGATGCAGGAATGTCTCCAACTGCAGCTTCAGAAGCTTTTAGCAGTGAATCAGCTGTTAAAACCCTGTTGACACAGAACCAACAGCAGCCAAGCAGATACATACAGATACCCAATCCTTCAGGGGGAGGTGGAACTATTTTGACTCAGCTTGTTATGAGGGGAGGCAAAATGGTTTTAGTGCCTGTGGATAAAAACACTCAAGCTCAGGTTACTGGCACATCGGTTCTAAAATTACCCAACTCACCATCAGGCTCACCAAAAATAGCAATTCGAGCTGGGGGAACAAATCCTCAGATTATTTCAGCATCTTCAGCTGGAGCTCTCCTGTCCCAGTTGCAGCAACAGCAGTCGCAGGGGATTATCTCCCTTTCACAGATCTCGGGTATCAGTACTGCTACTGTCAGCAATGTAGGAGCCCAGCGACGCATCACACTGCCAGCAGGTAATGCTGCTGGGAAAAAGACAATCCAAGTGATTACTGTTCCACGTTCAGCAAATGCAGCTCAGATAAACCAGGCAGGCACAAAAACAATTATGATGAGTTCCTCTAGCAGCCAGCAAACCACAACCACTCCCAGTGTAGGCAGCCCAAGACTTGCCACACCTGTGGAAACAACCACTATTGATGGTAGGATTCTCTCACAGTCTGGAAACATTGTCATCCGAGAGCTGAAGCGAGGGGAGACCGAAACTGCACCAACCATGACAACATCACTGGGCAGCACTAGTCAGTTGACACCAACACCAGCAGTATCCCTCCTTAGAGATGTGTCTGCTAGAAGTTCAACGTCCTTGCTTACGACATCCCCTACTAGTCAACAGCAGAAATTGCAAGAAAGTTTTAGGTAGGTCTTATAAATAATTACTACAAAATTTGTCACATTTTTTAAAATTTATATCAATTTACTAATTTAAAAATATACATTGCACTAACTAAGCCGGTCACAACCTTTTTAATTGGGTGAGTGATGGTATACGGTGCATACATTAAGTAAAGCATATTTCTTTCTCACTATTGATAACTTATTCAGCTGTGATCTACGTAAAGGCTGCAGCTAAGTTATTATTGGAACAAATACCCACCCTTTTTTAAATTAAATATATAAATAAAAATGTGAATATTTTCTGAATTATCAAATGAAAAGTTAAATTATATTTTGGAAAATAATCAATTTTAAAAAAAATTCCTTTTTTTAACCACACAGATACATCCTGCCTGGCTCAAGCACTACTCATATCCTTCACACAGGGGCCAGTGGGACCCAAGGAAATATTGGGAGCACAGGGAGAGCCTTTACGGCATTGTCTGCATCTGGAACAATCATCGGTGGCCAACTCACACCATCTCCCACAACCTCAGCTATCGGCACATCTCCAATGGACCAAGATATGGCATTGGGTGACTCGGATGACAGCAGCTCTGCCATTCTCATGCCTAATCGACGACTTATTAAGGAAATGGATACCACTGAATACATCCCTCTGGGGCGTGGGCGGGCTAAAACAAGAGGTGGTAGAGGTAGAGGAAGGGGAGGCAGGACGCCTAGAGGAAGAGGCCGTGCCCAAATATATTCACCTGATGCTGATTATATGCCCCCATTACAGATTTCCAACCGTAAAATATCTACACTACCGGCCGATCTGAGACAAATAGGTGCTCATGTAATTGAGTCCAGTACCGAGTCTGTAGATGGTGTACCTGTTGTCTCCATTCCTGAACTACCTAATTTGGAGTCGCAGCAAACTGAGGCTGAAAACTTTGAATCGGCTCAAGTTGCTGATGCTTTGGAGCCAATTATTCCTTCTTTGCCTGATACTCAAGTTCAATCTTGTGCAGATGAAACTCAAGAAAATCAGGTTCCTGAGTTAGCAATGAGTCCTCAAGGTCCTCGTGTAATCACACAACCTATTCCTTCTATCAAGGCCAATCATGGCTTTGATATTCTCACACAGGGAATATTAGGGGGAGCTGCTAACAGACCCCCTTCGCTGCCTCAGACTAAACAGGCTCGAAGTCTTTTGACAGGCTCTCCAGTTTCAATAGCTCATACTGCATCTTCAGATTCCACCACAAGTGTTACAACCATCTTAGATGCTTCCACCATCTTAGATACTTCTTCTCTCACATCTGTAGCATCAAAAACACAGCAAACCTTGTCTTTGGGTCAATCTGTCAGTCAAGCTGAGATTGACACCTTAATTCAAGCTGCTCAGGCCGCAGCAAAGCCCGGCAAACCTGCTGTAACGTCATCCATGGTCACTACCACAAGCGTTATTACTCAAAACAAGTCCACTGTTAGCATCCTCCCAATGACCAGCCTGGATATGATGAGCCCACTGAAAAAGGAAAGTGTTTTTGGTTTGGAAGATTTTGTAAGCAAAACTGAGGAAAGTGGTGAATTGGATGATCAGATAATTGAAGAACACAAAACATCTTCACAGGAATTAGATAGCAAATACAAACAGGAGGAAGAAAGCATTGAAAGCGAGCAAAGGATTATGAGTGTTGATGAAAGCCAGGTGAGTGCAGCTGAAAGGTACAGAATGCCAGTGGAACTCTTTCAACCAGATGATGAATCTCCCGAAAAACCTTTTTTAAGGTCTGAGGAATGTTTAACCAAGCTTGGAGTTGAGCTGCCTTCTAAACTCTTTCAGGATTCAGAGGTAAGCTCACAAGATGAAGAGATTGCAGTGACTCCCGTTGTTTCACAGAAAGGGGCTGCTCGACACAAAACTATTAATGAAATAGAAATGGACAAACGGGCATCTCGTTTAGGGGCTGAAACAGCTGCCATCGCAACAAAAAAATTACACCAGAAAATCAGTACAAAAGCAATATTTGGTTTGGAGCCTGAAGACACTGTTAGTGCAGACATTGATATTGAGACAGCTGAAGATTTGGTAAGTGTTTCAAAACCCAAAAAAGTTTCAGCAACCGATAAAAAACAGAAGCACCAAAACAGCAGCAGTAAAAAAATAAAGAAAAAATCCAGCAACTCCCAAGAAGCTTTAAAATCAGATGACTTGAACTTGGAAACTTGTACCAATGTTTCCTCTCTGGATGAGAAAATTGCACAGATTATCTCTAGTCCCAAAGTAGAATCTAATGCGAGAAAAACCCCAGCTAACATTGTCAAACCCAAAACAAGCATAGGTGGCTTTGCCACAGATCTACTAATGGAGTCAGAAAAAGAAGAAATGCTTAATCTTGAGAAGGAAGTAGAGACAGAATGTGCACAAGAAATTAAAAAACAAATGGAGGAGAAACTGTCAATTGAAAGTGGATCTGCTGCTATTGCAGACTCAATAAAATTGAATGAAAAAGTCTTAGCAGATGAATGTATGGTTACTCTGGAAGATAACAAGGAAAATGATATTAATGATGCTGAGATGGCCTCAAAAGAGGTAGAAAAACCTATTAATGTAAAAGTGGTAAGGAAACGTTTAATTTACCCACCAGCATTTGTGCGACATAAGAGGCACAAGGCTGACTGGAGTGTTCAATTGGAAGAGGATTCGACTGAAAATGTATTACCAGAACAAACGTTCAACTACCGTGTTCTGCAAGGCATACTGAGACCATCGCATCGGCACCCATCATTAGACCCTTCACAAGAATTGTATATTACCTTCCCTACCCCATTACCTCACATTAGCTCTAAAAAAAACATGCTGCCTGTCCAGCCTGCAGTAGTCAAGCGTCGTAATCGTAAAGATCTTCAAAGGCCTCAAGTTGATCCATCTAAAGAACCAACTGTTATTCCTCTGGTTCCAGAAGATGAAGGTGACCCAGCTTGTACAGGAGGTTCTGTTGTGACTAGTCCCATTAATGGGGAGATATTTTGTGGTGTAATTTTGAAAAAAAAATTGGAAACTGCTGACTGGAGCAGCTCTGTTGAAGAAGGGGAAGAGGAAGAAATTTTTGAGGAGGGGGTAGACATAAAATCTTTACAGCATGAATATTGTGAGCAGTTGCGAACAGTGTACTTTATGGAGGCTGGAGATTTGAGCATGTTGGAAGAGAGCTGGAATAGTAATGAGGATTACGAGGATGTTGATTCGGAAAAGATGTCGATTAAAGATGAAGACACTGGTGAAGAAGATATCTCACTTCAGGTGGAGAAAAATACAGTGTCTGATCAAGTCATGGAACAACCATTAGAAATTCCTCAAGTCTTTGAGCCTTCTCAAGAGGCTAAAAATGATTCCATTAACAATGTTAGTGTGGTAACACAACAGACTCCAATTGAGCAAACCCCTGTTCTCAAGAAGAAACGTGGAAGACCCAAGAAAGTCTCGACACCCAATGTTCAGCCCACTCAAGCACAGGAATCAACAGGTGAAAAGCAAACTTCATTTCAAGAGACCCGAGATGATCACACATCTGGCGGTTCCCAGGATGGGGAAGCTGGAGATGTTTCCTCAAAATCCACTCCATCTCGACTCAATGGTATTGAAACTGAATTGCCAGCTCAGTCTCAGTCAGGAACCAAAACAGATATCATTATCCCTCAAAGAGACTCAGTGGCAGCACCATCTTTTCCATCTCCCTCACGGCGTTCAGGTCGGACACCCATCCCTTCAAAACGTGTGTTAGATGCTCTGGAGGATAGCCCTGCGCGTGTCTTGCTGAAGAGCAGAAGAACTTCATTTGTTAGCTCTGATGATGAGCATTCCAGCTCGAGTAATGGGGAAAATGTTGTGAAAAAACTGAAAAAACAGAGTGTTGTCCCCACATAGCACTGTGTTATGTTTGATCTTGTTATGTAATTTTACTACAATACCAATACTGTAACCTGTTCCTTACTTAGTGGTGTTTGGATATGTCAATGTAATTATTTGGCTCCTTTGGAAATTTTAACAGTTCTAAAAATGTTAATGGCTCATGCTCAAATGTGCTCTTACCTCCCATTGGATTTGGGCATCAAAGTCAAAGCTATGTACCTAAAGTAATGGTACTTAAAATACCATATCGTGAACACGTATATGAGTTGTCAACAGGGTATAGCCCAAGTAGCCAACTGTAAATTAAAATGAAGTAAGTTTTGGCAGTTTTAGTTGGAAATTGGTCTCTAAACGGAGGAAAGAGTACTCCTGGTTGACTCATATTTTTACTCATATGTAAGTGCTTGTGAATAGGGACTGAGTTTGAAAATGATGGAAGAACAATTCCAATAAAGATTTTTAAAAATGGCACCAAGTAACAGTTAAGCAGTATTTTGTTAAGAAATTTCAACAGCTAACCTATTCCCTGTATTGGAAAGGTGCGCTGTCAACTGAAGGGGTGGTCTGATGGAGCTTTCAGGGAATTCCACTTTTGCTGAAACTACACGTTCCTAAAAAATTTGAAACCTCGTACACAATGGGCAGAAATGTTCCACACTACAGCATTCAGGCCGGCATACCTGGTCCGTCAGAGTTGTCCAACCTGTAAGACAGTACAAAAAACTCCTCAGTCCTTACAAAGTTTCAAGAATGGTCGTCTTTGACTGAGGGTGAATGCAGAAACTACTGGAGAGTGTGGTTCTCTATTAAAAAAAGTTCTTGTCAGCAGACTTATCCCCGGTATACTTCAAAAACTGCAAAATTTCATAACAACAGAATGCATAGCTGTGTTAATTGGTGCCATCTGATTAAATCTATCTTGCCATTGTCTTACTACCTACTAAAACTCTGTCCTTATTCACAACCTACTGATGAGTGAAAACTATGAATATGATTTCTGACAACTGCCAAACATGTCTTCGTTAAGACTATTGTGAACATGTGACAATTGGAGATATGCACCTTTGGAAAACCCACATACTTGTTCATATGTTGGAGTTTCAGTACTGTCACTTTTTGTGCATGCTGTAGTTGTTATTCTGGTTAGGTTGAGTTGAAATTGGATTTTTAATTTATTCAGAATTTTTTTAAAATGTTGAATAGATTACTATGGTTTCATAAAAGTTGGTATATACATTGATATACATCTGTTTATGTTTTTTTGCTTAGTTTTCTATACTCATGTAACTATTCTTGTTTGTCATACATTGTACATCTCCTGTACATATTGTTGCAAAAAAATATAAATAAAATCACACTGCACTACATGGCTCTCTTCAGATGACCAACTAATAACATTTTTTTTTTTTGCCACTCGCTACTAACAGCCAAATTATAATTTTTTAAGAACAGAATTCAATTTTGATTTACTGCATTTTTTCAATTTATTTAACACATTTCAAATGTATTCCACTCAAATTAAACTTTGGTTGTTATAACATTGAATTATAAATAAATGTTTTCTCTCATGATTTTTCTTAAATTCTCTGTTATCTTTTCAAAATAACTGTTTTATGTTATTACAATCCTTTTATTTGTAGCAGCCATTATATTGTTTGCATGATATTTTTCTTTTAGTTTTGTGTTTACACATGTAAATAGTTCATGAGAAATTTCACTAACTTATTGGTATTAAATGTTCTTGGCAGATTAAAGGATTGCAACCTAGCAAACATCAATGAAGATTTTGTCAAATTAATTATGGTAATTGGTCAATTTTCTCAGAATGCATTTGTAGGACTGTGTTATTAATTGGTTAGCATTGAGAGAGAAAACAGAAAATGTCTGTTTTAACTGGGTATAAAAACAGAAATTTTATAAATTATTTAAAAAAAAAAAAATTCAATTGTAAATTTTATTTATACAATACTGGTACAAACTATTCACCAACAAAATTTGCTTCATCAACTCTTTTTTTTTTTTTTCTTCACGCCATGTCGATTTTTTGTTTTTTTCTGTTAAAAAAAAAAAAAATTCAATTGTAAATTTTATTTATACAATACTGGTACAAACTATTCACCAACAAAATTTGCTTCATCAACTCTTTTTTTTTTTTTCTGCACGCCATGTCGATTTTTTGATTTGTTCTGTTAAAGTGATTTCATGTTTAGGTCTAGCTTTTGATTGTTTTCTAGACTTCCACTGGCTCTTCATTACATAGGTGCATATTGTTCATAAGTCAGTTATCAATGTTTTCATAGTTATTGGCGTGATAGAGCTAAATGAATTCCTAAGATTGTTTATCAATGAGGATTTTTGTTGTAACTACCTTACCCCAAGTCACTTTGTCACATTTCTTCATTTAAGTGATGCTGTAAAAATTAACAGAGCATTTCTCATGTCACAGATAATAATTACAAAGACAACAGCATTGTTATGTTAGTACCATCTATGTAAAAAGTAACCTTTTTACTTCCCTTTCAAAAGTGATCATCTCCCTTTTTATAAAGCATCACCGCTGATTTAAATGAATTTAAACATCTTTGCATGTACTTGGTGCACACTGTCGGGATCATACACTAAAATACTTTGTTAATGTTTTGCTCTAAATGGTAGGCTCACACAGCAGCAGTATCTTGAATGTTTACTAAAGAAATCAATCATGATAGAAAATTGGTAATAGATTCCTGAACAATGGTCATACAAGACAGATGAAGTTTCTAATTTCATTGTATATGCTCATTTTTCTCAAGAGCTAGTATTTTTAACATCCCTTCATTGATTGTTATGAATTTATTAAAAAACAAAAACAACAAAAAAAAATGCTTTTAATCCCAAGCAAATGTCATATTCATATTGTTGATGATTTTAAGTTTTTATTGAGGGATAATGATCTTGAAAGTGGAAAGCCAATATGCTTGTTTGCTGATTGGGATCTTACACCACCCTCATCATTAGCATGGTATGGCATGCTATTATAGATTTTGTTCATGTTGTTTTTTGTTTGAGGGTTTTAATTACAAGGTTTTAATTACATACCTACTGGCAACTGGTAACAACTTAAACGGTGAAATCAACAATGTGGCTGCCAGGTGCCATTTCAAAATACCCAACCTTAAAACGTAACTATAACTTTTCACACCAGCAGTTTGTTTACACAAAAAATTTATCATGATTTGTGTCTTCATGTATTGTTGGGTAATTCTGTAATTACTTTGTAAAAATTTCTTTATTTTCATGCTTCAACACCCAAGCTTTTGCTTAGATTTTTCATCAAATTGAGAACACATTAAAAAAAAACAAAAAGCATTGTACTTCACTCCCTTCTGTACACCACTGGTGTCATTGTATAAAACTACTTGTGTACATTGTATTTCCAGTTGTTTTCTAGAGTTCTGAAATGATTTTTGTTCTCTCCATGGCTGCATTGATGGGCTTCATCAGTGTACCTTGTTTTTGTTATTGGGCGTCTTTTTGTGAATAAAAAACAAAACCAGTTCTGACCTGAAAAGTTGAGATCATTTTTCTTTCCAGAATAAATATTAATAATTGGCTTCAGTGTTGTCTGGTGTGTCTCTCTGATTAGGGTTTTGGGGATTACTCTTGGGACCAGGAGAATGAATGACTTGAGTGCTTGATTGTTGAGAAAGATTGCTGACTGAGTGATGTGGTAATAGGTGATGTGACATTAGCAATTAATGAGCCAGGTGATGTGATATGGGCAATTAATGAACCAAGTGATGTGGTATAGGTACACTTATGAACCAAGTGATGTGACATGGGCAATTAATGAACCAAGTGATGAGAAAATTAATGAACCAAGTGATTTGACATGGTCAATTAATGAATCAAGTGATGTGACATGGTCAATTAATGAATCAAGTGATGTGACATGGGAAATTAATGAACCAAGTGATGTGGCATAGGTACACTAATGAACCTTGTGATGTAACATTGGCAATTAATGAATCAAGGGATGTGACATGGGCAATTAATGAATCAAGTGAGGAAACATGGGAAATTAATGAGCCAAGTGATGTGAAATGGACAATTAATGAGCCAAGTTATTTGACATAGGCAATTAATGAATCAAATGATGTTAATAAAGGCAAGTAATGAACCAAGTGGTGTGAAATTAATGAATCAACTGATGTGAAATGGACAATTACTGAATCAAGTGATGGGAAATTAATGAATCAAGTGATGGGCAATTAATGAATCAAAAGATGTGAAATAGGCAATTAATGAATCAAGTGATGGGCAATTAATGAATCAAAAGATGTGAAATAGGCAATTAATGAATCAAGTGATGGGCAATTAATGAATCAAAAGATGGGAAATTAATGAATCAAGTGATGTGAAATTATTTGAATCAAGTGATGTGAAATGGGCAATTAATGAACCTAGTGTGACATGGGAGCATTTATGACCAAGTGTGACATGGGAGCATTTATGACCAAGTGTGACATGGACACACTAATGAACCAAGTAATGTGACATGTTGACAGTTATAAACCAATAGATGTGGCATGGGCACACTAATGAACTAAGTATAGAAAGGATCACATTTAGGCATCTTGTACTCATTCAAATAGTGTATGGCTTTATTCATCTACTTAGAAAAAGGGAGCACTGCAGTCTAACGGGTGAGATCCATAAGAAGTGTCACTTTAGAGTGTAACTAGTTAAACTTGTTTCACACATATCTTTGAATAAGTAGAAGAGACCTCGAATGGGATACCGCTAACTATCAGGTGAAGGTTAAAAAAAAAATTAATGCATTATAAAAAATTTGTTGTACCGGGTACGGTAATAAAAAGTAGGTCATTGTGAGTAAATAGTTCCACTATCAAACCTAGGATTGTGTGCGAGGATCGATCACTCAAAGATCGTTTAGATGTTACAGTCATAGTCTGAAATTAGTGAAATCCAGACATTCAATAGAATGACTCATTAACTTGGCAATTTTTAAAATTTCATGTTATTTACAGAATCGTTAGCCTTCTACAGAATGATAGGCAGGACTTAAACTAAGTATGTAACAACACACAAAGGGATAAGACTTATTTAAAGAAAATGTATTTATTTGAAGAAAATACGGTTATTAGAAATGTTCTTGTTCTTTTTCAATTTATTGCAGCAGGCTGAACTTGAATGACTTAGGAAATGAATATATATATATATA